GGGAGGGATGAACCCAGCCAGCTTTGGTGGGATGGGCTCACCGTACCGGGGGTTGGGGGGTACTGACACTCGAGGTAGAGAGGGGCTGTATTAATTGTGTTTGTGGGGGGGGCGCTCCTTGTAGGCAATCTCCAGGGCCTCTGCTGGGTGGCCTGGCTACAGGACTGGCCCTGGCAGGGTGGTGGTTCGTGTTTCTTTGGTTTCAGTCAGATGCAGACCCTGAATTTCAGAGGCTTGAGAGGCAGCCAGACTTGTATGGCAGGAGTGTGCCTTGCCCCCAAAGGCACAGCTTCCTCCAGGCCTGCGAAGTTCAGAGATGCTATCCAGGGCTTACAGCTGAGGGCAGTTCCCACAGAGGAGGCACTAGGCCCTGTGTGATCAGATATTCATGTTTTAGCCATTGAAGAGCAGCTTTAGGAAGGGCCTGTGTTTATTTTTGTTACTTATTTGTATCGTGCTGGGTTCCATAGGGAATTAAGGCAGCATAAAACACAAATGGAGTGTTCTGGAAAAGGGCTGATTTCCTTTCATTCTCAAAGGAATAGCGATTCCTAAATGAGTGATTCTCTTTGACTTTTTTCAAGTGAATTATGAAGAGCTGTAGTGATTTTTGTGGTGATGTGTGGCCCTTCCCTGGTGGTCTCTCACTTGTTTGAGTCGGTGACACCTATGAGTAGAAAGGCATTGTCGTAGGTTTGAGAATGGCCTGAGCCCAGATAAACTGTTGGGGCCATAATTTCTTACAGAGTGTGGGTGATGTAGGCAGGGGAGGCAGCCGGGCTCTCTAGGGCAAGGCAGGAGAACCGGGGAGGATGGAGTGAGGTCCTGGTGTGGGATTTGAGCACCTGGAGACCTCCGTGGGGCAGACTAAAGTGTTAAAAGCCACAGAGCCACACCCATTTTGGTTTCACTCCCTTCTCCTTCTGCAGGGGGAGAGCTGGATGCTTAGACCTCCCCTCCTCTCCTGTACTTTTGGCTTTGCCCTGGGCAGACGTACAGAAAAGATGGCAGAAGGAAGTGAGAGGGTGCCCTGGGCTCTTGGGCTTAAACCTTCTTGCTGTTGCCTACTGTGGGTATTTGCAGAGAGTGGGAGTGAGGATATGGTTTGGAGAAAATCTGGATTCTGAAGGTTTCTCCGTATCCTGCTCCATCTCTAGCAGTGGTGACTGCTGACTGTGGTGGCAGCCCCAGGTCACATCCGGGCACTTATCTACAAAAAGGAGCAGGTGTGAGTCCCGTCTCCTGGGTAAAGAGAGATGCTTGGCAAATTTTTTGTCCTTTGATTAAAGGCTACTGCCCCATGTCCGGCACACATTTTTCCTTCTATCTGCCTCTGACTACACTCTGCTCAGCTGTGCAGTGGGTTCACAGTGCAGGTCTGCTGTGCGTGCTGAGTCCCATTTCTAATGAAAGTAGACTTTGTTCTCTGGAGGCAGCTAATCGTGCCCCTTGGGCTATAATCAGGGAGAAGGTATTTAATACAGGGCAGGCGGCAACAGGCGGCCTGCACTGACTGGCAGATTGCAACATGGCAATTAGGAAGCTCTCACCCCCCTCTCCACCCCAGCAGGGCCCGCATCTCCTCTGAGCAGAGTTTTGAGTGAGTGAAGAATGAATGCTATGCCAAGGAGGACCGGGGAGGTGAGGCTTGGGGGCGGGGGCCTCGAGAAGAGCCACTTTCCCTTCTGGAGGCTGCTCTGGGTGTCTCCCTCAGCAGCGCCTGCAGGGCTGCAGACCAGACTGGGTCAGCCAGGGTTTTTCACCTAGGCCTCAGCTGTTCTCGTAGTGCAAACCTAGCTTGCGATCTGGTATCCCCACATCCTGAGTCCTCTGCCCCCAGTTCCTTGAAGCTCAGATTGTGTGGGATGAGGGGTGGGAGTGGGCTTCTTCTTGGTCAATTTCTAGACCTTCCAAAAGACCATTTTCTTGGAGCCAGCTCAGCAGATGGAGGCCGGGACCCCCAAGGCCGCTTGCTTGCTTATCCTGGCCTGTATCCCATTCTGAGTTATTCAGCTGCTTTCCCTGGGGACTTCCTCTTCTTGACAGGGGATTGGACCGAAACATGCCAAGGCAACATGGAATCTTTGGGTAAAGGAGACATGGCCAGTGGAGGCCACAGCTGGTGGCTGGGTCTTGCCGATGGGACTGCTCTGCTGTCTTGCAGCTCACCTTTTTTTTTTTTTTTTTTAAGATTTTATTTATTTGACAGACAGAGATCACAAGTAGGCAGAGAGGCAGGTAGAGAAAGAGGAGGAGGCAGGCTCCCCACTGAGCAGAGAGCCCAACGTGGGACTCGATCCCAGGACCCTGAGATTACGACCCGAGCTGAAGGCAGAGGCTTAACCCACTGAGCCACCCAGGTGGCCCTGCAGCTCACCTTTTATCTTCTCCTGGCTGTGGGCCTGGTGTCCAGCTGCTTCTCGATTTGTTCTCCAGTACCCCTGGCATGGCTCTCCCTCCAGGGTCTGTCCTGCCCTGCTGTGCTTCCAGTCAAGGACAGTGGCCTGTGAGGCCCATCACATTCCTGTTCAGTGCTGGAATTGGCTCCCCACTCTAACACCTCCCACCCCACCCCCCGCCGTGGGCTGGATCTGGGGGCACTTAGCACATCTCAGGAGTTGGAACTAGGGTCCCAACACATACTGGTATTTATTGACATGAGGCAGGGAGTGAGAGTGAGACAGACTCCTCCCCTCATGGGCTTGTGTCGGGGACACTGCAGGCTCCCTCACAGACTGTCTCCCTAGTGGGCCTTGCCTTCTGCTTCCCCAGTTGGGAGTGGCTCCCCTCCTCGTGGCTCTGGTGTGTATGGAAAGAGTATGCTCTGGCCAGGATAGATAACTGCCTGCCATTGCTGGCTACATTCATCCCGGAGTGTCCGCATTTGCAGTACTCCTTTCATCTCCCTGCCAGCCACTTCCACACTGTCCCTCAGCAAGCTAGGTTATCTGGTGCAGAAAGCCCTGGGAGTATATGGTGTGAGGCCAGGGAGTGGAGACTTGACATCAAGATGACCAGGATGTGTGACAGGTAGAGCTAGGGCCCCAGGGCATGGAGTGAAGGCCACTGTCCTTCGGCTAGTATCCCCAGGTACCTGAGCACATCAGTGTGCTCCCGGCCGGCTTGCCTGCCACCCATTTAGTGTCCTGGTGCCTAGAGGCCAGAGTGGGTATTAGCAAGAATAGGGCTAAGGAAGAAAAGAGGCTGAGAATCGAGGGGATCCGCAGCATGACCTGTAGGGAGAAGGGGACTACTCAGCTGCTGGGGGAGCAGATGGGGAAGGGAGCAGGCCCAACTCGAGCCTCCTCACCCCTGGATTTTGCAGAGGTTCTTGGCTCCCTGTGTCTCTTATTCTGCGTCTCTGGCAGTTCCCCTTTCTAACTCAGGTACCCCACACTTAACACCCTCTGAGTATTAGCACCCAGCTATCCAGGCTGGCTTGGAACTTTCTGGGCCTATCCCCAGGCTATAGGAGCTCCCACCCTAGGGCCAGCAGGAGGGGTAGCCCCGAGGAACCTGCGGGGGTGACTTGTTTGCTCCCCCACACCCTAGGAATGTGCTGTCCTTTTGGGCCCGCCCGGATTCCTGCGCAGGGAGTCAGCTCGACACAGCACGCTGCTTGTGCCCTGTGGGGACATGTCCGCCTCCCCATCAAAGGGGTGGAGGTTGGCGGCTCGTGCCTGCTGCCATACCCCAGCTCCCCCTAGAACCCCAAGCCAGAGACCAGGTTGCCCAGACAGAGGAGGGAGGCCACTCCTGCTTCCCCACCCTCCCTACCCCCTCACTGTTCTTCCTGCCCCAGGCTCTGTTGGGATGTGACAGGAGTCACGGCCAGGGCATGTCCCGACAGCAGGAACACATGCTTTAGCCCGCAAGGCTTCCCTAGGCCCCCAGCTCTATTTAGGAGGATGGCGGCAGGAGGCGGCGGAAGGCGGCAGAAGGTTGTTTATGCCCAGAAGGCCACCTAAGGTTAACTGCCTCCATGGGCCCCTGTGGTGGCTGCTGCCCCCGTGCTGCGGCCCTGCTCATTACAGGTGGGGGCAGAGCTCAGTGCGCCAGAACCTTTGGGGAACCTGTGGGGACCTCACCGGTCACTCAATCCAGCCACCTCTGTGTGGAAGAGGGACCAGTGAGGGACTGAGCTGGGGCCATACAGTGTGTCAGGAGCAGCGTAGCTTCTGACACTGGGCGGTGTCTCAAATCCCTGGACTCACGCTTTCTGCCTGGGAGTTCCTCAGCCTGAGTGTTGTCAACGTTGTGTGCTGATGATTCTTCATTGTGCGGCGTGGTCCGGCGCGGCAGGGTGTTCAGCAGCATCCCTGGCTTCTCCCCACTAGGTGCCAATAGCTCTCCCCGCCGTTGTGACAGCCATTCACACATGGCCAGGGATCTGGGAGGGGGCAAGAGACGGAGGTGGGCCATAGTCACCCTTACTGAGATTGCACAGTCATTGCTGCTTTTTCAGATTTTTCTCTCCTGGGTCTACCTTTCCCTGTTGCAAAGTCTGTTTACAACTTTTACACACAGAAGTAGGATTTGGGCTCCTGGTAACATGGCCAGGAACTTTTCCCAACATCTTGTGGGTCTCTACTAGGCTTTTTCCTTGTGTTCTCTTCTGCAAGCCGTGTTCCCCAAATCTCTTAATTACTAGACTCTGAGAGACCTGGGAGATGAACAGGACAGATGTGAGGTAGGATAGGGACAGGACAGGACCAGACCTATTCCAGAATCAGGCACGTGGTGAGCTGAGACCACGAGCACATACAAGACGCGCATGTGTATCATCTAGGGCTGTGCCTGTGCTTTCATGGAGAAAGGAGCCTCATGCCTCTGGTCCTCTCCCGCCTCCATTGCTTTCCCCAGATCCCCTGGGCCATGGCTTTTCTGCCTGGCTCTCCCTAGGGGCCTTCCCAGGCCTGGACTGGGTAGGCCGGCCGGGGGCACCAACAGACCCGTGCCTGACAACCTGGTTTCCACTTTCTTCCCTTCTCTAGTTTCAGGAGCTGTTGGCTAGAGGACGTGGAGGGGCCGTGGGATGCAGAGAGCCGAGGGCTAACTCCAGGACAGCGGAACAGAGAGAGCTGCCGACAGTCAGACGGTATGTCCCTGGGAGGCCTGCACCCCGCCTTGGCCCCCTTCCGGCGAGGCTGGCAGGCCAAGGGGCAGACAGGTGGCCCCTCGTGGTGGGGGGCTGGTGAAAAGAGAGTGGTGGAGGCTAGAGAGTCTTGGCCTCCAGGACTCTCAAGCTTGGAGATGCCCTCCTTCTGAGGAGCCTGGTCTGGGGGAGCATCTTCAAACCCTTACTTTCTGGATACTTGGCAGGATGGGGGAATTTGTTTGTTTGTTTTTTGGGGTTTTTCTGAGCTCACACGTGTGGAACGTTTCCTAAGTGCCAGGTAACTGGTTAGTGGCTTATGTAATCTTCACAACAGGTCTGTGAAATTGGTGCTCTCCTCATCCCCAGTGTAGGGTAGATGACACTGGTGCAGAGGGAATGGGTTTTCTCTCTAAGGCCTTTTTGTAAGGCCATGGAGGGGAGCAGTGGGTTGCTCTTAGATACCTTGTCTCACTACTAGGCCATAGCCTCTCTTCCTGGTGCCCAGGCCGTGGGCCCTGCCTTCTGCCTCCCTAGTCTGGTTGCATTGGGCCCTTGTCCCCTCCAGTATTCCCCTGACCTGTGGGCACTGATCCACCAGAGTCCAGGTTTCTGATGTCCCCAGCAATGGCCCAGGCCTGCCTGTGTGCCGGGTGGCTCCTATGTATATTCTGTTTACTGTCTTTGGCCAGAGGCCTCTTGCCCATGTCTCTGAGCCTCCTCCTTCCTTGCTTCTCCACAGCAGGTTGAGAATCCCTCACATCCAAGAATGACCAGTGTGGCCCCTGCTAAGAAACCGTACCGCAAGGCACCCCCTGAGCACCGGGAGTTGCGGCTGGACGGTCCAGGATCCCAGCTGGAGCAGGAGGTCAGGAGATGCCTACTCCTACCCTGGCTGGTAGATGCGGGCCCCTGAGGCTGGGTGCCTGACTGACTTCTCCCGCCTGAGAGGACTTCTGGGCCCCCGAGCAGGGGCATGGGGGTTGTGCTGCTGTGTCGTGCCAGGGGGCTCCTAGCTGCAGCACTGCTGGTAGGGGCAGTGCAGGCTCACAGGACAGCTGTGAGCACAGGACAGCTGTGAGCACATGACCCCTTGTCAGGGAACCCCAGAGTCTTCGTGGCTCAACGGAAATGCTCTCAGGCAGTATTGTTCTTCTGACAAGAGGCAGCCCTCCAGACGGAGGGGTCCTCACGCGCTGGAGGCTGGGACTCTCTGGAGGAGGTGGAGGTGGTGCTCTGGTTTCTTCCCACCAGACCAACTGTTCTTTGCTGTCCCCAGAAGTCCGGCCCTTCCTCCATCTTTGCCTGGTCTAACACTGATGAAAGACACACTCCCTGCCAGGACCTGTGTTAGGTTCTCAGGGGGACTTTTTCAGGCCGCTTTGGAGACTGTGAAACAGTCTCCAAACGGGCTCTCCTCCCTCATTTGGTGGAAAGGAAGTGTGTGTTGCAGTCAGTTTGCCCGGCTGCTTGTCCCCACCCTGTTGCTACACAGTGCACATTTGCAGAGCTCCGAGATCTCTGACCCCGCGGAGCATCAGGCATACCATGGCCTGCTGTAGTCCAATTCAGGGTGGGAATGCTGGGACTTGCCTAGTCTCAGTTCAGGGAACATTCAGTAAGAAGGCCAGATACTGTGATAGGTGCCATCCCTGTGGGCATTCCCTTGGTTTTGTAGATGAGGACACTAAGGCAAGGTTAGTACAAGCAGAGTGTTGTAGAATGGGATCAAATGCAGGTGTCATTGGCTCCAGAGCCCATGGTCCAGGCCACCCACCTCTTTTCCGGCCTGTGATAGGCATTCTGAAGCAGTCACCTCCATTTGGAGCGGGCCTCTTGATGTTTCCCTGCTCTGTGGCTGGCTGAGCTCTGGCTCTTGGGCTATGATCAGAATAGGGGCTTGGGGAAGATGGGGCAGGAGGTTCCAATAAGGACAAGGAGAAGACACATCACTGTTCTCAGTCAGGACTAGCCCAGAGGCTCTCCTTCATGCATGTTCTGGTTCGTTTTGAGGACCTGGAAGGGCCTGATTCTGCCCCATCTTCCCTCCAGGGTCCAAGCGGGCTTTATCAGAGCTCAGAACCCTACTGTAGCTTGCTTGACTTCTTTACTTCTCTGGAAGGTCTCTGCCATGCCTGTGGGGCCCACTCCGAGCCCAGGGAACAGCTGGGAGGCTCTGTTTTATCCCTGGGAGATGTAGCATGGGTACCAGGACTCATTTGCAACTTGCTCTAGAATTATGAGAGGGTTTGGAAGTGGTGTGGGTAAGGGTGAATGTTGGAAGAGGTTCTCAAACCTTCTGGTTGGTGTGGGAAAGGGTGATCCAGGCGTTACTGGATTACCTCCATCTCTCCAAGGCCCACTTCTGTGAGCTTGCTTGGGCTTTAGACATGGCCCTTTCCAGGGCTTTTTGGAGGGTGGGCAAGCAGGGTGGGCCAGTGGTCTGGGGCTGAGCCTCAAGCTTCCATTCTTTTGTGCCCAGGAACCCCTGACTGATGCGGAGAGGATGAAGTGAGTATCTGCTGCCCGAGAGCCTGCCCTGCCTCAGCACTTCCTTCTTAGCTCCAGGCACGGCTGTTGGTACCACCGGGCTTTTCACTGGATTAGGGAGAAGTGAAGGTTAGGTGGGGTATTTAGGGATTCTGGGAGGAGGCCTGATGTGGATATTTCCTTCTGAAGAGAGTTTTTGTTCCATGGGCTCCAAGAGAACCTGGAACCAAGGAGATAGGTGCTCAGATGGGCCTGCTCTTGCCAAAGAGCCCTTCCCCAGCTCCTGGTCCTCCTGTGCCAGCTGCCTCCCCACAGCCCCTTCTGTCAGCTACATCAGGCCTTTGGAGAGGAGGGCAGTGCTAGGCTGGATTTCCAGGAGATTAATAATAGAGCAGCCTGATTGTGCAGTGGGGAAACCGGAGCTGGAGGGCTTGGTGGCCGGCTGGCTTAGGCTGTAACCAGAGACAGACTGGGAAGTCTTACCCCCGCACCAGTTCTGTCTTCTCATTCTTCTTCACGGGTGGGGGTGGATTCTACCATGCCCTCTGCTCCCCACCGCCCCCCCTCCCCACCTCACTGCCCCCAACCAGGCTGTGTTTTCAGGGCTAGCAAGCCTGTGGAATATGCTGCCCCAGACTCAAGACTCCTCCTTTTGCCTATGCTCGTGTCATCCCTACTCCTTCAAGCTTCTTGAGCTCAGCCTGGGGCTCCAGGGCTGGCCTGTCTTAATGCTGATTCCCCTCTGCCTTTGACCCCTCACCCTGCCAGGCTCTTGCAGCAGGAGAATGAGGAGCTCCGTCGGCGCCTGGCCTCGGCCACCAGGCGCACTGAGGCCCTGGAGCGCGAGCTGGAGATTGGGCAGGACTGCTTGGAGCTGGAGCTGGGCCAGAGCCGTGAGGAGCTAGACAAGTTTAAGGACAAGTTCCGCAGGTGTGGAAATGAAGGGCCAGGCGCCCATGCACATATATCCCCCTACCCCACCCCATCCATGGGAGGTTAGCCAGAAGAGGCCTCAGAGATCATCTGATTGTTTTGGGGAAACCGAAGCTCTGGGAGGAGAATGACGTGCCCCACATCCCATATCAGGGAGGGGTTGAGGAGGGCCTGAAGAGCAGATCTTGACCCAGGGATCTGCCTTGTGTTCCTCTACAGGCTTCAGAACAGCTACACAGCTTCTCAGAGGACCAACCAGGAGTTGGAGGACAAGCTGCACACGCTGGTAATCTGTCGGGGGGGCGGAGGGGCATGGGGGCACTTCGGCTGGCACTGTGCTCACGGCATAGCAGGGGGCTGGGACTTGCCCATGGAGTGCCACTGTGCCCTGGGGCTTGGGGAGGGGGTGGGACAGGGTGGGCAGGGGACCGCAGTGTGCTGTGCGAGTCAGGACTGTCTTAGTGCTCACACTGTTTCTCTTCTCTCCCGGCTTCCCCTCGCGCCGCCGCCGCCGCTGCCGCCCTCTCCCGTCAGGCCTCTCTTAGCCACAGCTGGATCTTTGCAGTTGCGTCTGAGTTTGTGTGTTTTCTCCCTTGCCCTGGCCTCCTCCTCAGCTCAGACCTGGGGTTGCTGGGGCCCCGCCGTTTATCTCTGCCCACTGCTTTCCTCCTCCTTACGTGAGGCCCGCTCGGTACAGTGCCTCCCTCCTGGGGAGACAGCTGCGGGCTGGTGCTTGGCGCTGGCAGAGGTCCTGACTGATGTCACCGCTGAACACTCACGGCTTCTTGGCTGTGGTGGCAACAAGCCCAAGCCATTTGTGGTTGGGGGGGGCACTCCAGCCCCTGAACTGAAGATCAGAGGGCTGCTGCTGAGGCTGCTGCTCTCTCCTGGCTCAACTAGATAATCTCATAGGCGCCCCCGGCTGCCACCCCGCCCCACCCCTCCTCCTTCCTAGTCTAGCCTGGAAAGTGCTCCACATGTAGGCTTCGGCCCCTGGGTTTGTACACTTACTCCTCAGGTCCAGCTGCCTGACCTGCTGTGTAGAGCCCCTCGAGGGGCAACTCTTGTATGGTCTCTGTCCTTGGCCCTGGTGGCAGCAGGTCATGTTCAGAAAGCCCCCACCCCACAGCCAGCCCGGAGAACAGGAGAGGTGGCTGGTCTTCTGTCTGTCCATCGTCTGTCTATTCCGTCCGCCTTGGCTGCCCCAGCACCTGTGGCTTCCTGTGTCTCTGGGCTGGGGGGAGGCGGAGGGGAGAGGGAGGCCAGCTGGGGTCGGGGGACGAGGTTCACATGAGTTTTGTGCCTCAGATCAAGAAGGCTGAGATGGATAGGAAGACGCTGGATTGGGAGATCGTGGAGCTGACCAATAAGCTGCTGGACGCCAAGAACACCATCAACAAACTGGAGGAGCTCAATGTATGTGCACTGGAGGGCCCTCCCCGCCTGTGGCTGGGTTGGCCCCAGAGTGGCCAGACTGCGTGGCACGGGGCTGGCTGGTGACGCCCACCTATATCTGTAGGAGCGGTACCGGCTTGACTGCAACCTGGCTGTGCAGCTCCTCAAGTGCAACAAGTCCCACTTCCGCAACCACAAATTCGCTGATGTGAGCAGAACGCTGTCCCCACCGCTGCGAGCCCCGTCCCCGGGACTCCTCTCCCGTGGGGTTTGATACCACAGGCCACTGGCCTCCTCTCCCCTTTCTGCTTTGCCTGCCCCTCGCCTGCATGTTTCCCCTTGAGTCAGTCAGCTCTGCCACTGATCGGTGTTCCATGTGCTGTCAGGGGACCATTGCTAGCGCAGGGGCTGGCCTGGCTGGGATTTCTGGAACAGACACATGGAGAGAGGCGCCCCCTTTTGGGAGCCCATGCCCAAGGTGGGGGTGGCTATTGACCATAAGAATATTGAGGGGATTTGGCTGAACTGACCTTGTTACCGCAGCAGGCGAACTCTAGAGCCTCAGGCCCAAGGCTCACAGGGTCTATAGAAGGAGTGGAGGCGTTCTGAGGCCGCCGGCCAGTGCAGGTGCCTCAGACTTGCACCTGGTTTGGGCAGAAACCTCTGTTGAGATGGGGGGAGAGGGACGTTGGAGAGCTCATGGGCTTTAGTGCTCTGGGATAAGCTGCTGGGTGTGTTCCTCTGACTCTTCAGGTCGTTTGCCCCTGCGGAGCATCGGTTTGTCTGTGAAGCGAAGCTGTGCGCCAGGCTGGTGTGAGACCAGTGCGGTAGCCATTACTTCTGCTCAGAAGTTGGGAGCATTCATGGGTCTCTTTACTTTTTCTGCTCTTTTACCCCAGCTGCCCTGTGAGCTACAGGACATGGTCCGGAAACATCTGCACAGTGGTCAAGAAGCTGCCAGCCCTGGCCCCGCCCCTAGCCTGGCACCAGGGGCTGTGGTTCCCACGTCGGTCATCGCCCGAGTGTTAGAGAAGCCAGAGTCTCTGCTGCTTAATTCGGCGCAGTCAGGCAGTGCTGGGCGCCCCTTGGCTGAGGATGTCTTTGTGCATGTGGACATGAGTGGGGGTGGCCTGGGTGAACCTGCCAGTCCCCCTGCCCCTGGCAGCCCCACCCCACAACCTAATGGAGAATGCCACTCTCTGGGCACTGCCGGGGCCTCCCCAGAGGAGGAATCGCCCTTGCCAGCCTTTGAGAAGCTGAGTCCCTATCCCACCCCATCTCCACCACACCCGCTCTATCCTGGCCGCAAGGTCATAGAGTTCTCTGAGGATAAGGTGCGAATCCCCCGCAACAGCCCCCTTCCCAACTGCACTTATGCTACGCGCCAGGCCATTTCCTTGAGCCTAGTGGAGGAGGGCGGTGAGCGGGCCCGCCCCAGCCCAGTGCCCAGCAGCCCCGCCTCAGCCCAGGCATCACCCCACCATGAGCCCAGCCCTCTTCCCCCAGTACTCAGTGCCCCAGCCAGCTCTGCCAGCTCCGAGGAGGACCTGCTCGCCAGCTGGCAGCGGGCATTTGTGGACCGCACGCCACCCCCAGCCTCTGTGGCCCAGCGCACAGCCTTCGGACGCGATGCGCTCCTTGACCTGCAGCACCATTTTGCTCTTAGTCCCACCGACGGAGATGAGGAGGTTCCGGCACCTTCTCCACCTAGTGAGAGTGGGCTTTTGCTGCCCATGGAAGCTGACCCTGGCCCTTCCAGGGAGGAGGAGGAAGAGCTGAACCTGCCCATCAGCCCTGAGGAAGAACGCCAGAGTCTGCTGCCCAGTGATGGTGGCACGGAGGAGGGGCCGGTCACTTCCCACACTGAGGGCCGGGCCTGGGCACTCCCCAACTCCAGCCGCCCCCAGCGCAGCCCCAAGAGGATGGGGGTGCACCACCTGCACCGCAAGGACAGCCTGACCCAGGCCCAGGAGCAGGGCAACCTGCTCAACTAGGGTGCCTGCTTGCTTTCCTACCATGGCTACACTGGGACCATGGGAGCCCCCCTACCCTGCCCCAGAGCCCTCCTCCCTCAGGCCAGCACCACTCTGCTCCCTGTGCAGGGTTGGGGGAGAGGGGGAGAGCACACCGGGCTTTTTAGCTGCATTGACCATGACTGGCCCCAGCTTGCCTCGTACCTTTCCCTTTTCTTTATAGAGTATGTACTTCCCAAAGGTAACATGCAGCTGGGGCTCTAGACCTTTCTTGCGGTCCGCCCAAACTGGGCTGTTCTGGGGTGCTGACAGGTCTGTTACATCAGTGTTCATCTTCCATCCCCATTTCGTACCCACAAATGGTTTTCTTGTTTGTTTTCCAAGGGTGGGAGGGGAATGTCATTTGGATTATTAACTTCTAATTTCTATTTGCTGCCTGCTTTCCTCTCCTCAAGTCCTCTGCACAAGCTGCTGCATTCAAGGGGTCCTTGAGGGATGAGGGAGAGGACTCACTCAGGGCTTGCTTCAGCTGTGTCCATCCTCTCTCAGGGAGAAGAGAGAGGGATTTGGGGGCCTCAAGCTGGGCTGTGGGTGAGGCCTGGCCCCCTCCCAACCTTGGCTCTAGACTGTTACTCCCAGCTTTGGGATGTTTTCACATCAATGACTATTTTAAAATTAAAACTATTTTACTGATACTGCCTAATTCCTCTATTAATGGTTTTCCTTGTGCAATTCTTCTCCCCACTCTTGAGCTTTCCAAATCATAGCCAAGCTCTGGTCTTTGCTAGTGAGTCCCCGGTGCTGCACTCTGCCTGGGGTGTCTGTGGCCACAGAGCATCAGGCAGCGGGAGAAGGTGTACCTCAAGTAACCTCAGCAGGGCCCGCGTCTCCTCGAGGTAGGGTTCAGTGCAACCCAGCCCTGGAGATGAGCTTTTTACCTTAGTTATGATCTTTGGAGGGGGGGAGCTGGTGTAAGGTGTCACCCCAGAATCCCAGATCCTACAAGTCTTGAGACCTGAGCCAGACCTAGTTGACATTTGGGGCCAGTTGATGCTGCCTGGAGCTTGGACTGTGTGGTGGCACTGCCCCCTAGTGTTCAGTGGTTCTAATTCCTCCCCTACTGCCCATCCCCAGGGAGCACAGCCACACGACAGGTTGTAGAGTTCATAAAATCTCTTCCGAGCCAGCGGGTTGCAGCCAGAGCTGCTAACAAGTCCAGAGACATCACCTTGGGTTCGCGTGTGCCCAAGGCTGTTGCTTAGTCAGCTTCCAGAGCTTCCCATCGCTGCCGGGAGCTACCAGAGCCCCCGGCACCCCCACCTCCCTCCCAGGCCCTAGGCCTGACCCTGACATCCGGGGTAAGGTGCTGGGGACATAGACAACATGTAATGATGCACAGAAGCCCGAGCAGAGAGTCACATCTCGGTTTCAGCCAACAGACTATCACCTAGTCCTGAAGTCATGAGCACCATCTGAGAGCTGGGATCTGTGGAAAGGCAAGGGGCTGTTCAGACCACCATTTGTCCCTCCACCAGGGACACAGGTGGGAGGCGGCCGAGGTCTCCCACACCCACTCTCCCTGGCCTAGGCCTCTTCGGGATCTGGCTCTGCCCGGCCCTGGGGGTTCTTACCACTGGGGCACATCCAGGAGCTGCTGCTCCTCTGCTGGGCAGCAGGCTCTCGCCCTCTCTCCTGTTCCTGCGTGTCACCAGCCCCTCCTGCCACCTCTTCCTCCTCCTCTCCCTCTGAGAGGAGGTCACAGATCTGTTGCTGCAGCTCGGGGCTAATGCTGTTCTCAGCCAACACCAGGCTCCGCAAAGCCGTGGGGTAATTTTCTACCATGTCCAGCAGGGTCTGAGGTGGGGAAGAATGCGGATTTTTCAGACCACTTCGGGATATCCACAGACATGTGACCTCACCTGCACCTCCACCCCAGCCCCACCCCCAGCATGAAGACTTCTCACCTGAGCTGACTGGTTGGTAAGCCCTGTGCCCTCCAAGTCCAGGACCTCTAACGTGCGGCTGGAGGCCACAGCTACAGCCAACATCCCTGCCACATGGTCACCTGGGGAGGCAGCACACATGCACACGGTCACCGGCAGTCATGAGTGGGCCTGCCAACCCTTCCTCCCCTGAGGCCTCCCCAGTGCCCTAAGGACCCTAGATCCCACCCCAGGCCAGCAAGCACAGACACTGGGTAGGCGGCCGAAAGGGAGGCTCCATGACTCAGGAGTGAACGGGTGAAGCAAGCCAGGCCCAGGGGTGGTGATGGGTACTTTGATGTACCTGGTGGTCATCTGGTCCTCCACATAAGTGGCTTCTCCACTACCTCACACATCCCCCCTCCCTTCTCTGTCCCCCAGGGGGAGGGGGTGTTACCATGGCCAAACAATGGTCCCAAGTTCTTGAATGGGGGTGGGATGGTGAGACTCACAGGGGGCTTCCTTGAGCCTCACCCAGGGGGTTGTAGTCCAGATTGAGGACGCGGACCTGGGAGCTGTGGGCCACGGCAATTGCAAGGCGGCTCCAGCCCTTAGGGGTGATGCCAGGGTTGGCGCTCAGCGTCAGTTCCTTCAAGCCTGGGCAGCATCAAAGTGAGAAGCCAGGATGGAGGTCAGGCCCTCTTCAAGCCCCTCCCCTGCCCTGGATCTCTGGGGTGTCCCTGGTGGCTGAGAGCCACCCCATCCCACCCCACCACAGAGCTCCTGGGCCTCGAGAGACACCTGCCTTCCCTGCGTCCCCCGCCCACAGCAGGCTGGATGCCTGAGTCTCCATTCTGCTCAGCCCCCCATCCTTCTAATAAATATTCTCACACACACACACACACCCATCGGAGCCCTCAGCTCTGGGTCACACCCCTTGCTCTCTGCATCTGGCTTTTTCATCAAGGCCACAGCAGCCTGTGTCCTCAGCAGGGCCTCTTGCTCACCTGACTTGGCTCCATCTGGGGGGAGGAGGCCACAGATGAGGTTGATGGCTTCATCACCCAGCATGCAGTCCCCCAGGTCCAGAGCCACAAGGGCAGGGTGGAGGGCCAGTGCTGGGTTCAGCAAGGCCAGTCCTGCATCTGTCAGGGGGCTCCCGTGCAGGCTGGTGGGTGAGACCAGAAGAGCAGAGGTTACTGCAGTCATCAGCCCTATCTGTAGGGAACGGACCCCTTCCCTTATGTGAGCCCTAGAGATGAGGAGGACACTTGTCACAGAACTTGGGAGAATTCTTCAGAAGAGAGAAAGAAAATTCTAGATTCCAAAAACCCAGGTGGAAGCAGAATTTGGTTTCTTTTCTGGGGCAGGGATTGGGATCCAGGACAAAGCACAGAAGTGTGTGAGTGGTGGATTGGGACTCTTCAGTGGGCAGAGCGCAGGGGCAGGGGTCTAGTCCCCAGGGGAGGTCCTTCTTGAGCCGGGAGGGGCTGCCCCCCAAGAAGTCAACGCTGGTGATTAGATGGGGAGGTACACGTTCCCTGCCAGAAAGGGGAGGGTAGCCCATCTCCTTTAGGGTGGGGCCGTGTGTGCAGAGTCCAGAGGTAAGGGATAAGCTTGGAGGGTGTCGTGGAGACCTGGGTGGAGGGATGAAATGTTGTACAAGCGTGAGAAGGCCGGCTGGCGCAGAGACAGCTACAGGAAAGTGTGTGGAGGAATAGGCGGTGGCAGGGGGCGTGTGAAAAGGGGTGCAGTGCCCGGGACCCCCTTGCGAGGGAGCGCACTCACAAGAGGGACTGGATAGAGCGGTTGGTCCGCAGCGCCTCTGCCAGCTGCTTGATGCGGCTGGGACTGGACACGACGCCTAGGTTAAGGTTGAGCTGCGCCAGGGACGTGGCCCCGGCCAGGGCCCGGCAGATGCGGCCGAAGTCGCGGTCGCAGAGGCGGCAGCCGCGCAGTGAGAGCAGGCGCACGGCGTTGTCGCGCAGGCCGCGGCAGATGTCCCGCACCTCGGCGCCTGACAGCGGCTCCCCTGAAATCTGGATGGAGCTGGGCAACATCGTACCCACGGCTGGGCCTCCGGGGCCGGGGCGCGGGCCGCGGCCGAGGTTGGCGGGGCCGAGGGCGGGGTCGGGGCTGGGGTCGGGGCCTGGGCAGGGGTCGCGGGCGGAGCGGGGGCACAGGCGGTGGCAGAGGCGCGGGCGGCGGCGGCCGCGGCGGCGGCAGCGGCGGCGGCGCGGGTGAAGGCGAAGAGCGTCGGGGCCGTGGCCGAAGCCGGCGGGGGTTGCGGAGGCGCCGAGGTCGCCTGCCGGGCTGAGACCGCGCGGCGCTGGGGCCGGGGCGGACCGTGCCGTCCGTGTCTGGGGAACCGGCCGGGACGCGCGGGCCGGGGCCGGGTGGGCGCTGCTTCGCGCTTGTCCTCGTTCCTGGCGGTCCGGGCGGCGGCTGCGGGGCCTCGGTTCAGGACGTGCGGGACCGGCCTCGGCTCGGAGGCCGCATCTGCTCCCTCCCCTCCTCCAGCCCGGCTCCCCTACCTACCCGCAGGGAGAGCCCGAGGCGGGCGGGCGGGCAGCCGGCGGCGGGCAGCAGCTCCGGCTCCGGCTTCGGCTCCTGCGCCTGAGCGGGCGGCGGGTTCCCATGGCAACGGTCGCGTCACCGCCGCTCGCCCCGCCCCTGCCCGGCCTAGGCCACGCGGCCCGGGGTCTGCGCACACCCGGCATTCCGGAGCGGTGGGACCGCTCTCTCCCTGGGCGTGGGCCCAGACGGTACTTGGAAAGTAGGTGGTGGGTCGAGGCCGGGGATGAGCCGGGGGTGTGGCGGGCAGAATGGAGGCACGTCACGTGGAGATGGCATTGCTTCTGCCCATTCTCCCGTCGTTCCCTCCTCCTCAGGGCCAGATCCTTGATATCTCCGCCTGCGGCCCACGCACGCCCTCCCGTCCTGCTTGGAGGTCCTCCCCAAGGCCCCGTGATTCGGGCCGCGCCGAGCTCGCAAGCGGCGTTGGGAGATGTCGAGCCCAGGAAGACGTCCCCGCCTGCCCCTCGCCAAGATGGCGGCCCCGCCGCAGAGGTCGCAGGGGCCACGGGCCTAAGGGGCCGGGGCTGTCAGGCACACCGGGACGGCGAAGGTTTCCTGGGGCAGGAGAGCCCCAAGTAGGTGCAAGGTGTTGGTGCCGCTCCTTCCTCGGCTGCCGGCGGCAGATGCCTCGGGGCTCTCAGTACGTGTGATACTGGGGTAGTGCAATGAAAGAGGGTGTTGGACCAGCGACCTGCTGTGGTAGGCGGCCGAGTTAAGGGGGCTGGAACTTTCAGGAAGGGTACACTGCACGGTGCGGGTAGTGCTGTTCGCACTTTGTTCACTGGTGATGGGGTGGGGTCCTCACATATCGGAGGACACACGGCAAATGAAAGGCACGTCTTTCTTAGGCCCTTTGCTGGGAGGAAAAGATGGTGACCCAGATTTACTAGGGAAAAAAAATATAAGCGTAGTGAAGGGAGGCCAAACGTCCTATTTCATTAACCACCTGACTTAACTCCTTAAGTGGAGATTAAATGGGTGGTGGGGTGGATGGTGCTAGGCTTGGGTCGGGGGAGGGTGGTTTTTAAGAGTGAACAACACTCTTGGAGAGGAAGGACAAAGTAAACTCCAGATGACAGCTTTGTTCCTTTGGCCCCAGTATAACCAGGACACCGGCAAGTTTGGCTTCAGATGTGAGCTCTGAATTATCCCTACCCAGTGGCCCGGGTGCATGAGGGCCTTGTAAATGTCATGGGGCTGAATCTGGCCAATTGTCATTGTTCCACTGGTGTCCCCAGAGTGAGGCTGAGCCCACTCAAGCTGGGTGCTCTCCTCCATCAGACTTAGGGTTCCTGTGTTTGAGGCCTCCCTGTGGCTCCATGGGGTGGGTGTCCCTCGCCCCCTGGGACAGGTTTCATATTCAGTCTCTGCTTTCACTGTAGTCTGGGCTCTCCCACCTTCGTCCTGCCTGGATGAGGGTAGCAAGAAGAGGACAGGTGCCATTACCACCAGTGACAAGAGAACAGGAAAGTGTACAGGAAGTAAGGTGGCAGGGAGGACCACTGGAATGGTAGCTCCAGTTCCAAACTTCAATCAGTATTTTAATTACCAAGTCTATATTTAGCGAGACAACATGGGGGAGATAAAGAGGGAGGAAGGAGGAGGCGGAGAGAGGGCCTCAGAGGAGCTGAGCCACTTTCCGCACTGGTTGCAAAGCCCTGTAGTCCTGGCCAGGGGCTCCAGGCCTTGTGCCCTTCAGAAGGCCCACAGGCGTAAGGGGGGTGCAGAAGTGGCTACAGCTCTGAGGCAGCTGCAGACCCCATCAAAGAGACACACGCCATCAGTACTGTTCTTTAATCTTCCTCTGCTCCACAGATGGGGGAACAGGGGCCGTCCAAGGGTCTCAGGTGGGGTCAGTGTGACTGCAGGGTCACCGCGACAGCCTTGGCTGTGGCATTGAGCATGGTGGAGGAAAGCCTAGCAGCAGGGAGTGCAGCAGGGACATCCCTAGGGACCCTCTGCATGGGCGGGATGTTGGGGCCCTCCAGCGTGTCCAGGATCCCTAAAAGAGAAGATGGAAGGTGAGCCAAAGCTGGCTGGGCACCGAGCTCGGAGGATGTCCCCCCTGCCCCCGGCTCTGCTGTCACTCACCCTCTACCACCTTGTGGTAGGCAAAATGCAGATAGAGCAGGAAGAGCATGTGCAGGGCAGCCAGGGTGCCACAGAGGAGCAGCCGCTGCGTGGGGCCCACTGTTCGTGACACCAGCACTGCCACCTAGGGCCACAGAACACAGCTTAGAGGGCCTGGCTCCAAAGCGAGCAGTGTGGAGAGGACATTCCGGCCCAGAGCTTAGAACCATCTTTGGGCTCTTCCCACCCATTCGGAGCCCTCTGTGGGGTTTGGCCCCAGCTCTGAGCTGTTTTCCCGAACTCCCCGGGAGATCAGCCCACCCCTGGCAACCTCTTGCCCGGCTTACCATGCGGAGGGTAGACAGCCCACCCACCAGCAACCAGAAGAGGTAGAAGAGGGCATGGAGGTGGATGTTATAGGTGACGAATAGGACAATGCAGTGCCCAAAGAGGCCATAGCCCTAGGAAACGGAATGGCGGAGAGGAAAATCACTCAGGCTGGGCTGGCCTTTGAGCTCTCACGAAGGTCCTGAGAAAGAAACAGTCTGCTGGCCGGCTCATCCCCTTCCAGTGCCTGGGGCCTGGGAGAGATGCAGACCAAGGCCTAGCTACTCTTTTGAAGATTACCCTCTCCCGCCACCATGCTGGACTCCTTACCAGCAGTGCCAGCATCTGGAGCATGGTGATCTGGGCATTGCACAGGTACGCGAGGAAGTAAATGAAGGACGAGACGCCCAGCCAATAGCCGAAGCAGGTGCCAATGGCTGTGCCCATCAGGGTGCCCTCCCGCTGTGGGGTGAAGGCTCTGCTTAGTCCTGGGAGGCCTCTAGTCTCAGCCTCACCCAGGGCTTCCCTCAGGGCTGCTTCTACCTCACTGCACCATCCTCTCCTTGGGCAGCTTTCAACTAAGTTCAGCCACCCCCCAAAGTCCTTTGTCCTGCTTACAATAATGGTGTCAGATGTCTTCATCCCATGGAGGAGGATGGCAACCAGCGTGAAGACCAGCATGAGAGGTCCATAGAGTTCACCTGCGATTTTCTGTCAATATACCAACTCATTCAGGCTGGAGGGTACAATGGCTCTTCTGTTTAGGTCTTCCTAGGCTTTGCCGGGTGGCCCCACCCCCTGCCCTCATGTCTCCCCCGGCTCTCCCAGACATGCTACCTTGGGTATTCACCTGGGGGAAGTTGACCATCTTGATCGGGATCATGGACTCCAGAAGCCTGGGAGAGGAGAGGAGAGATGAGAGCCAAGGCGGCACTAGGCTATGAGGTTCTGGAGGGCCTGAAATCTTATTCATCTCTAACTCCAGAAAATATGCTGGATGATAAAGGGAGAAGAGGGGAGTAAAGACAGACAAGGAATGAGGAAATAAATTCCCTGTTCCTAAATATGCTTCCAGGAAGGAAAACCTTCTGATACCATGCTCACACACATGGAAAACTCAGAAAGCCTGCCCGGGCCTTGGGAGAGAGCTTGACGATTTATCTATTTGACCTGCTCCCATTTAAAACAGACCAACAGGGGTGCCTGGGTGGCTCAGTGGGTTAAAGCCTCTGCCTTCAGCTCAGGTCATGATCCCAGGGTACTGGGATCAAGCCCCGCATCAGGCTCTCTGCTCAGCAGGGAGTCTGCTTCCCTTCCTCTCTCTGCCTGCCTCTCTGTGTACTTGTAATCTCTGTCTGTCAAATAAATAAATAAAATTTTAAAAATAAAAAATAAAACAGATCAACTTCAGAAGAGAATGCCCAGAATTCAGGGCTTGTGATGGTGAAGCCCTGGAAAGGGTTTAGTAGGAAAGGTTTTACTTGAGGGAACCAGTGTGTCTCCTGTCTCTTCCTGCTTACCATTCCTCACAACACTGCTGAGCATTTTCTGCAAAAACAGCCTAGAAATGGTATGAAAATTCCACACAGAAAGAATAAAACTACAAGTCACTTTTCCCCACTCTCAAGTGACCAGCTCCTATAATACCTTGGATTTTGGCTAGATCTTACCGCCTCTGGGAAACCTGCCCCATCCCGCCCTCTAGCCTACTCTGGGTCAGGTGTCCTCCCTGAGCACATGAGTGCTGAACTGTAATGGCACCTGAGGGCAAGGCTTCCATCTATCTTCACCCTGTCTTCCATGAGACAGAACCATTACAGTGCCCAGCACAGAGCAAATGCTCAGTAAATAGCTGGTAAGTGGTACTGGGTGTCTGATGAGCACCTCTTAAATGACGAGCAAAGTACCAAGCCAAAATTAGAATCACTTCTCGAAAAGTCATTCAACAACTAAGCAGTGGTATTCTGGTTCAGAGACTGTTCCAGCGTTGGGAATATAAAAATAAAACAGAGACTTGTTTTTGAAGCACTCTCTAGGGAGCCAGCCCCAGAAATAAGTGAGTACAGCACTGCTGCAGGGTCATCTGCTAAAAGAAAGCATAAAGTTCTCTAGGATCACCAGGAAAGGACAAATTGGGGATGTGGCTGAGGAACGGGGAACAGAAGAGGTGACATTTGAGCTGTGTGTTGAGGGAAGGAGAGCGGTCTGCTAGATGGAGAGGAGGAAGGCAGAGCCTCAGGCCTTGGTAGCTGGTTGTAGTTTGGATGAAGAACTAGGTGTGAGGAGGGCAGCTTCTGTCAGGAGAAGGATTCTCACCTGCTTCGCACCTGGGCCGGCTCCACATCAAAGTAGGGTCTCAGGATATCGATGTTGGCGTACAAGCTGAAGGCCCTGGAAGCTTGTCTCTTCCCTGCCTGCCACATCTGAAGTAAGGAAGACAGAAGTGGGGCGAGTAGGTATTGTGAGGGAGAATCTGGGCTGCAGTCCCTGTTGCTCATTTTCTGTTGGTCTTCTACATAGTTCTACTGGGTTAGACAACATGGGGTGAACTTCGACACCAACTCCAGCCCTTGGGGCCTGCCTAGATATACCTTCCCAGCTACTCGGAATCCAGTCTTGCTTACCTGATCTGCCACCTGCCGGCTCAGCTGTCCCTTAAAGCCCTTCATGCCCAGGAACTCCCCGTCCTCTTCTTCTGCAGCAGCTGCATCAGCGTCGACCTCCTCCTCCCGCAGTCGTTGATGCAGCTCGCCCATATCCTCAAAGCTGGAGCCTGAGGTATCATCCATGTTCTCCATGTCAATCACAGCTGAGCCCCCACCCTGTGAAGACAATGGCTTCTAGAATGCAGGACCTTTCTGCTCCATCCGCATGTCCTCCTCTGTTCCTCCCAGGGTTTGGGACTTTGTTCTTCCACTGCTGGGGGTATGGCTTGGAATCACCACAGATCACACGGCTCTCTTCCCCTCATTTGCTCTCAGAACCCTTGGTGGTCTCTCTTTTCTAGCCTGGAAAACCTATTCCTGTCTTGCATACATGTCTTTCTTCTACCTTTCTTACCAGATTCTCAGAGGGCTGCAAAAGTGCCCATTTTCTTTGTCTTTTCCATCCCCCAAACAAGGCTATGCACACAGCATGGTTTTCGCCAGTGCCAGTGAAAACTGCCCACTCCCTCGCCACGCCTGATCCCGATCGACCAACAAACTTGTCTCGAAAGCAAGAGCAGGTGTGTCCAGAGACACGAGGCTCTTTGGCTGGAGGACCAGTCTACCCTTCAGATCAACACGAGTCCCACTGCCTTTCGTGTACACCAAGATCCAAAGGGGAGAACAAGTGCTGCAAATGGAGCAGACCTCCACGCTCCCAGGGGGAGTCCCCACAACACTTCAAAACGGCTGCCAGCCCTGGGGCTGCTAGCAGCCTGAGCCTTGGGGGCGATTACCTGGATATTTTCTTCGAACCCTCCCCATTCAGGGCCAGCCCCGCTTCGGGCGCCGCCGGCCGGCGCCGCCGTAGTTGCCATGTCCCTCGAGGGCTCCCGTCGCTGAAGCCCGCGTAAGTCCCGCGCGCGGAGGAGGAGTGGGAGAGACGTGGGCTTGAGGGAGGGCTATGTCTAGGGGCGAGAAAGAGAGGTGGGTTCAGCCGGAACGCAAAAAAAAAGAAGCCCGGATGTTTGGCTAAAACTGACTTCCGGAACTGGGGACGTGGACGCAGCTGAACAGAATCTCGCGATGTTTAAGAATCCGGGAGGCGGTGCGTTACCACGGAGACGGAGGAGGACGGCTGGGACTCCCGCGCCAGTTTGCTGCCCTAATCACGTGGAGGCGGTGAAGATGGCGGCCGCCCAGGCGGTGCAAGAAATGCGGACCCGCGTGGTTCTGGGGGAGTTCGGGGTTCGCAATGTAAGCCTGTGGCCTTAAGCTTGGGAAGAGAAAAGAGAATGGAACAGGGATGAGTTGGGGTCGGAGTTGGGGCGGGCTTGCCCTACCTGCCCCTTCGCAGACTCGTCTTTTTTTGCTCTAGGTTCATACCACCGACTTTCCTGGTAACTATTCGGGCTATGATGATGCCTGGGACCAAAACCGCTTCGAGAAGGTAGGTGGGTGGGGCTGGAGAGGGTATTTGGAACGGACCTTGTGATTTGGGCAGCCTGTGTCTTGGAAGCAGCTCTTGGGATTCGCTCGGTTCATAAGTCGTTTGCTGAGCAACGTGTTAGGAGTTCCGTGTACACGGTTTGTGCTCTGTTCGACGAACAAGCTGTTTAATCTTGTTGAAGAGCGCGCATAAATGATTTCAGTATAATGTGGTAAACGTGATTGGTAGCGATAAGGACAATAAGGGATGGGGGTGATCCCACAGAGGCACTTAATCTAGAATGGAAAGCGGGTCAGCGGTATGGAAGATGTACTTCCTGAAGGAGAGGACATCTGAACTGAGCCCTGAAAGATGAGTAAAATCTGACAACAGGGAAAGGCGAGGGAGATCTAAGACCAAAAGCTAAACTACAAAGGCTTTGTGAGCTGTGTTTTGGGAGTGGCCAAGCAGTTTATTATTGTTCGAATGTAAAGTGCTAGCATGAGTGGTGGGCAAGATCGAAGTGCATATTAGACACTGTAGGTGATAGGGAGCTTTCAAAGAGCTCTGAAGCAGATATCTGATTTGCAGCCATAAAGGCTGGGAGAGAATGAATCAAAGATCAAATAGGGCAGTTAGATTTGTGACAGGATTGCATAGAGGAGTGGAGGTTGAAGGCATGAACTAAAATTATGATCAGAAAAATAGAGCAAAGGGAAGATAGAAGGTAAATTTGGTGTTTGCTTTGATGTCGGCTGTGAGGAGGGAGTGTAAAATGACCCAGCTTGAGGAACTGCTTTAATGAACGGTGGTACCATTTACTGAGGAAAAGTAAGTCTGGGGAAGGGGAATGATACTATATTAAGTTTCCTGTATGTGGAGAAATTTAGCAGGCTAGTAGAACATGTGTTTGAAAGGAGATCAGAAGTGAGATAGATTGGGAAGTTTTCAGTACATGATTGTTAAACCATGAATGTGATTGAGGTCGTTTTGGAGAGAGACAAAAACCTGGAAGATAGTGATGTTTATGGAGTCGGTAAAAGATTGTGAATTTAGAAGAATTCAGGAGGAGGAAGAGAACCAGAAGACTGGTGCTCAGACGCCAAGGCAGAGTTTGAAAATGGAGGGATTCTGGGATACCTGGGTGGCTTAGTTGGTTAAACCACTGCCTTCGGCTCGGGTCATGATTCCAGCGTCCTGGGATTGAGTCCCACATCGGGCTCCTTGCTCGGCAGGGAGCCTGCTTCTCCCTCTGCCTCTGCTTGCTCGCTCTTTCTCTCTCTCTGACAAATAAAATCTTAAACACAATAAAAATAAAAAAGAAAATGGAGGGATTCTATCAATGCTGGATGCAGCAGAGGAGTCTAGTAAGATAAGGATTGAATAGTGTCAACTAGATTAAGGGGTGTGGAAGCCTGTTCTCTCATAGAATAGTTTCTGTGGATGGTCTAGCTGGAGGCCATATTGCAGGTGATTTTAAATGAATACAGGATTAAAAACAGGGAAACTTTTCAAGAAACTAATAAAGGATTAGGGAAGAAAGGAACATCTATGAGGGTCTGGCCGAAGGGAGGTTCTTGGGTGAGAGAGAACATTAGGGGCAATATCCAGGGGGAGGATATTGACTTCATAGAGAGCAAGCTTCATTTATTGCATTTTCTGTCCCTGCAGAACTTCCGTGTAGATGTGGTGCACCTGGATGAAAACTCATTGGAGTTTGACATGGTGGGAATTGATGCAGCCATTGCCAATGCTTTTCGACGCATTTTATTAGCTGAGGTATTTATCGGTGGGTATAGTGGCAAGGGCGGAGTTGGGTAGGAAAATGTGCAATCACCTTACTTGGAGAATTCTCAGGTTGCCCCTTTCTTTTAGTTTCTTGGCAGTTTTGCTGAGCATTCCTCCTGCTCATTCCTCATAAACTTTTCATCAAGCATTCTTCTAAAAGTGGTCCTCCTATGTCAGGAAGTAGGAGTAAATAGGGAGTCTGTAGGTGAATGATCCTGTTTTCTTGGTCAGGTGCCAACCATGGCTGTGGAAAAGGTCCTCGTATACAACAACACATCCATTGTCCAGGATGAGATCCTTGCTCATCGCTTGGGGCTCATTCCTATTCATGCTGATCCCCGTCTTTTTGAGTATCGGAACCAAGGTCAGTGTTTGAGAAAATGAAATTGTGGCAAAATGGGAACAGTTTTCTTCCGCAGTTGATACTAGAGTCCTACTGCCTCTGTTCAGATCCTGGATTGACTACTGTAAGACTGTAAGCAAGTTACTAACGTTTTGGTACATGAGTTGTTGGGATCTATGTGAACACTTGCCCATGGCCTTCTGTAATTTGTCCAGAGGAGTAAATGACAAATGCATATTAATGCACACAGTGTAGTGTCTGGCACCCAAATGTTCAGCTGTTCTTTAAGAGCTGCCACTTCTATCTTTTGTTCAGGAGACGAAGAAGGCACAGAGATAGATACTCTGCAGTTTCGTCTTCAGGTCAGGTGCACACGGAATCCCCATGCCGCTAAAGATTCCTCTGATCCCAACGAACTCTATGTGAACCACAAAGGTGAGTGGTGGTGGGTGAGCAAGAAGGCCCCCCCTTTGCTGGGTGCTAGTTTTAAGGACTGAGGTTTCTCTGATGTGCTGCTTTCTCCAGTGTACACCAGGCACATGACATGGGTGCCCCTGGGGAATCAGGCTGACCTGTTTCCAGAGGGCACTATCAGGCCTGTGCATGATGATATTCTCATTGCCCAACTGCGGCCTGGCCAGGAGATTGACCTACTCATGCACTGTGTCAAGGGCATTGGTAAGAACCCTGAGGGCTGCCCTGGGTGGTGGGGGGCGGGGGGGTAGTGTGATTACAGTTGGGTGAGGTGTGACTAAGGTGTGACTCAGGTGAGTGGTCTTGACCAGCAAAAAGCCAGTGGGCCTCTGTTAGGGGCTTATCTAACATGAAGAAGGTTTCCATACAGGCTCTGATTTCAGTCTACCCTCCAGGCAAAGATCATGCCAAGTTTTCACCTGTGGCAACAGCCAGTTACAGGCTCCTGCCCGATATCACCCTGCTTGAGCCTGTGGAAGGGGAGGCAGCGGAAGAGCTGAGCCGGTGCTTCTCACCTGGGGTCATTGAAGTGCAGGAGATCCAAGGTAGGCCACTGGGGATGCCACGCATTCAGGTCAGGACCTAAAGTACATCTTCTATAAGGGTAGCGGAAATAAAAGCTTGGGGCTTGTGTATTTAGAACAGAGTTTTTCATTAGGTAAGAAGGTGGCCAGAGTTGCCAATCCCCGGCTAGATACCTTCAGCAGGGAAGTGTTCCGGAATGAGAAGCTGAAGAAGCTTGTCCGACTTGCTCGGGTTCGCGACCACTACATCTGTGAGTATCGGGTGGGGGTGGGGGTGCAGGGGACAGGTGTTCCGTGCTGCAGCTTCCTGGCGGAGTCCGGCTTAGAAGCTGGCAGTGATGCGGCACAGGAGCTGGTGCCAGCACACCTGGGCTCAGGGCTCTCTCTGCTTCCCAGTCTCTGTCGAGTCAACAGGGGTGTTGCCACCAGAGGTGCTAGTGAGTGAAGCCATCAAGGTACTGATGGGGAAGTGCAGGCGGTTCTTGGATGAACTGGACGCAGTTCAGATGGACTGAGCCTGCACCGGCTTCTTGGCGTGGCTGGGCTGCTCCCAAGCCAGGCTGAAGATCTGGGGTCCTGACCTGCCCTCACAGGACTGCCACAGAGTCCAGTGTGACTGGAGGTCCTGGGTTTTCTGGGGCAAGTCTAGCCTTTTCAGTTGATACATTTTGTTAAATGTGCCACAGAATATGACGTGCCTTTGTAAGGCCTTCATGTAAATAAAATCACATCCAAATAAAAATCCTTTTGTCAGGACTACCTGAGTTTTAGCCCCAAAATATGGGCCCTCAACTCCGAAGAGGTTTGGCATTATTTAGCCCTTGGGAACACTGGGTTCAGGTGTTACTGCAGGTCAGGGCCAAATCCCTCTGAAGCCTTAAGAGAAATGCCAAATTGAGGTGGTTTCTGGGGGCTCAGCCACAGAAAGATACTGTGTACCACTTTACCCATCTTCTGGATTATCACAGGAAGCATCAGGTCTATAGCTGTCAAGTCACACTGCTATTAAGTGTCACACAAGGGTGGGCACCTGGCTGGCTCAGTTGGCAGAGCAGGTGACTCTTGACCTCAGGATTATAAATTTAGCCCCGTGTTGGATGTAGAGATTACTTAAAAATAAGATCTTAAAAAAAAAGAGTCACAAGGGACAGCAGAAGTTCCCTTTGGGCGGTGCTTTAGAGTCCGGCCCCAGCAGCCACAGAGAACACTGGGAGAGTGGGAAGACCGGCCTAGTGTAGGTCTGTCAGGAATAGAAATCTTTTTCTGACTGGCATACTGTTTGAGAAAGCTCAACAGAACAGGTGCATCAGTCATCACTCTTCCTGTCCAGTTCCCTTAGCAGGATGTTCAGGAGTAGTGACACTAGAAGTCACTGGTTTGAAAAAGGCAGATGGGGCCCTTTCTGTATGAAACGGAGATCTTTACTGACATGCAGATGTGCTTTAGAGTTAATGTTGCTACAAAAAGGTTCTATAAACAATAGAAAACTTCTAACATGAAGTCACAGGATGTTAAAAATATTACAGCACAATAAATACAACTATGCCCTCCATAGCCCCAACCAGAGAGGAGTAGGCAGCCATCAAGTTGGGAGGGAAACCTACTAAGACAGTCTTCAGAGTTGACAGGAAGCAGCCCAAAGCACCACTCAGGAAGAGGGCATGGGGTGAATCTGCCACGGAAACATCTCCACAGGACCCCCAAGTCCTGTTTGCCTAGGTTCACCTCTCTTCAACCCTGCCTGGGTGCCACCTGCTCACAGCTGTAGCTTGAGCTCAGGCCGTTCTGCTCAGTCCTTACTGAAGCCCTTGTGTCAGTGGGCTGCATGGATGACAGGCCTCCTCCGAAATGCAGACATTCTATGTGGTTTCTGTATGGATTAAGGCTGGCTATGGCCAGCCTTGACTCAAGGCTAGGGTCCTGCATTCACGTCCCTGCTGCTTACAGGGCGATCCAGTGACCTTTAGAACAGAGTGGAGCCTCACAATACAGGTTGTGATAGGAAGGCATATGTTCTTTTCTTTTGGAAATGGTCCACGAGAAGTGACCAGGGACCTGAAAGACCATGAGATTTTTGAAGGCACCTGGACCCAACTAGTCCGAGAAGAGACCAGTGGCTTTGCACAGACAGAGTCTAGCTGGTCTGCATTATCCTCTGATGCCAATGGCATCACATGACACTAGATAGGGTACTGTGGCTCTTATGCCTGAGTGGACCCTGGGGCTGGGGAAACCACGCTGAGGGACTGTGCATGGAGTATGTGTGAGCTCTAAGGGGAGGTCAGAAAGCACTCTGGATCCTGGTCCAGCCCTGGTCCCTGATGGTACTGCTCTCGACACTGTGTCCAGAGCTTGGTGACAGCCTGTACTGGGGATCACATCAGGTGACCAGATTTTTGCTCGAAACAGAGCAGGAACTGGTCACATTCAGTTCGGCACTCAGCACCTGACCCAGACATGCCCCTGGGATACAGGGAAGGTCCTCTGCCAGCCCAGTGGTAAAGGGGCTCAGCGGGACTTGCAACAGCCCAGGAGGAACTCTCTGGCGCAAGCAGTAGACCAAGCCCCTTTGCAAGCCTGGCTAGTTGCAGTGCTGGGGGTTAGCACCCCGAGTTACCGCTCTACGCAGGTATATGGCTACATGGGGGCGGGAGGGCTTGGGGAGTAGGGCCAGTCTGCTCTAGCTTTTCTTTCTTGGAAAAGTTGAAACTCCGAGTAGAACGGGAGATAGCTGGGAAATCTAGACGGAATGGCATGAGCACGAACTCCCTTTCTTGATACCTTAGGTATCGTTACTTCTGCCCTGCACTGGGCCCCCTCTCTCCAGCTCCAGACCTGGATCTCTCTCCAGGCTGACAGTGGTGTAAGGTGAGGTGGCAGTGGAGAGGGGCCTAGAGATTAGCTACGAAGGGGAAGAAGAGATGACAATAAAGGCCGAGGAAGAATGCCCAAAAGTTTGATTCAGGGTTCAAAGATGGTGGCCAGGCCACCCTCCTCGTTGTCCAGCACCTCTGTCTCCAGCATTGGCTTTGTTTTTTTGAAAAGTGAGGGGAGATTCTTAATGTGAACTTCTTTTCGGAACTGCTCTCCCAAAGGTTTCTGTGGAAAACAAATGAAAAGAATTGATGCTGGGCCCTGAGGAGTGGGTTGTTTTAAAGATCATGACAGGGATGCCTGGGTGGCTTAGTCGGTTAAGCATCTGCCTTTGGCTCAGGTCCTGATCCCAGGGTCCTGGGATCCAGTCCCACACATTGGGCTCCCTACTCAGCACGGAGCCTGCTTCTCCCTCTCCCTGCCACTTCCCTCTGCTTGTGCTCTCTCTGACAAATAAAATCTATTTTAAAAAATTAAAAGAAAAATCGTGACTCCAGCTGGTCTCTGGTCTGCACAGACCCATCGTCTAAGCCCGCAAGTGTGGGTCGAGCCATCAGGGAGCACTAGGGGAGGCATGTGACCTACCCCAATGCAGCCAGCAATGAGGCGTTTGAATTGGTCCTTCCGGCGCTTGTCAGCCACTTTCTGCAGAGAGGGGTTCAACAGCTTGCAGTCAAACTGGTCCAGAGAGTCCTTCTGTATGTCAGGGATCTGCTCCATCACAGCCCTTATTTCCAGGTACCGGGGGCGCTGCAGGGTGGGGATATAGAAAACCATGCAATGGCGATGGCTGGGCCCTGGCACCTTTCCCATCCCCCACCATGCCCAGGGGCAGGACCAGCAAGCTGGCAGCTGCCTGCTTTTATGATGGCCGAACCGCCTGGGGGCAGGCCCCGAGGGCTGAAGCTGCAGTGCACCTCCGTGCTGTTTGACTCACCAGCGCTTCATAGATCTGGAAGGCCAGGTGCACCAGGGAAGCCATGCAGCCATCATGCTGCCCGTGCGTCTGTAAGCCCTTCAGCACACTGGTGAAAAGCCATGTAACGGCATCTGCGAGCAGTGTCCCTGACAGCACCTGGGGACACAGCTGTGTTCAGGGCCAAAGGGGTACCCTTGGAGAGCCCCAGCAACCCGCTTCTAACTGATTCAATCCTCATGACCCTAGCCTCTCATAAGGGGTAAGGAGAAGGGGTAAATAATCATACTTGTTTGAGCAGAGGCCAGCAGAGCTGGGTGGTGGTCCTCTGGCAGGACAGAGTATCCTTCCAGGCAAGGGAATTGAAGGCTGTAATTAAGAGCGCCGTACAAACATCCTAGTGGGAAAGGATGAAGGATTCCAATGAGAAAATGAATACAATTTTCTGAGTAGGCCTCTGCGCGAGGAGCTGGAGTTTTCATAGGTAAACATGAACGTGACAAAAGCAGCTACTGGAGACGAGCTTATTTCCTCTGTGTATCAGGCAGTCAAAAAGAAAAAAAAAAAAAAAAAAAGCCCATACAGAAGAGAAAACCCATGTGTAAGGAGACCTAGCTCAGGCCTGGGCTCGAACACCACAACGCACCCGTATGCTTCTGAAAGCCTTTTTCCATGCCAGCACAGGAGACACCTTGACCTCTCCCACTGTTTTTTGGAGCTTTAGGAACGAGGACCTTAACTCATATAAAGCAGCATTACCCAAAAGAATTCTTTGATGGCATCATAGGCTGAGAAAAGTGGAAGCCGGCGCCATACCTGGAAAGCAGAAAACCCTCCCCTGTCCCCTCCACCCACCTCATGCTTCATTAGACATTTGCCCAGGTCTGTAAGCTCCGTCATGGTGGAGGGGGCAACCTCTGTGGCCATCATCTCTTCATCTGTAAGCAGAGAGCAGAATGTTAAGCTCCATCCTTTCAGAACAGAGAAAAGCAGGCCGCCAAGTAAGGGAGAGCTGAGTACCCCAGGCTGCCTGGTCAATGAGCAGTCCTGGGACAGCCCCCCAGCTGCCTGAGAGGGTGTAGAAGCCCCTACCCATGGCAGGTCTGGAGGTGCATCTGGCTGCAGTGTGAAAAATAGTGGGAAACAGGAGATTCTCTCAACAGTTACTTAAAAAGCTGCAAACACTGAGGATCTTTTGTGGTTGAAGTATTTGAAGACCCCACTGTAGCAGGCATGGACTTAGTTCCTGGGGATGTTAACAGGAATAGGACAAAGTCCCTACCCTGATGGGAGTTTACATCCTAACAAGGGAAACAGGGAATACATGAAGTAAAACAATGTTAATACTTAACACAGTGTTAAGTGCTATGAAGAAAAACAGAGCAAAGGAAGGACACAGAGTGGCTGGCTGGGGCGGCTAGTTTTTCTAAGTTGGTCATGGAAGACCTTTCAGAGGTGACATGTGAATGAGGGACAGGCCACGGATACAGCTGGGAGAAAAGCTATTCTAGTAGAGCAAACAGCAAGTGCAAAGGCTCTCCAGTGGGAGTATGCTGGAGGAATATAGCAAGAGGGCCAGTGGAGAGAAAACCCAGACGGACATCCCCCCACCAGCGCAGACTGCTGGAGAAACCATTTCTACGCGAACTGACCTGGCTACAGAAGGGACAATATTCTGGAGTCTAAGGGCAGACCTCTGGAGGACCATACAGCATGCTTACTTACCATCTCCATCTGTAGGGGGAGCAGTACCATGGTCAGCAGTTTTCTTTGAAACACAGCACACCGCTAAAGCAAGAAAGTGGGGTTACTGGGCTTTCTGCCACCAGACAAGAGCCACCTCTGGACAATAAATCCCAAATGGTCTTCCGGGCAGATGAAATTGGGGGAAAAGTGGGGCACTGTCCAGGCACAAAACCACCTTCACCAGCAGAAACAGAGGTGGTGTTTGACCGGACTGCTCTGGTGCCTCTAACTTCAATCAACTAGAGGAAAATGACAGAATTTTCTGAGAGCAGGTGACCAGGAGAGAATGTCTACTGATACATCCTTGGTCTACTGTGAATCTCAAACAAATGAAATAACCAAAAAAGAAAAAAGAAAATTAGCCACCTCACGTCCAAGTTATAAAAATTTTCCCATTCTGACAAAACCAGGAAGTTACTCCTGCCATTAATCCAAATTTCTATTATTTTAGACCATTCCCACATATTCTAGTCTTAGAAATACAATAGAGTCTATAATTCATAGGATGTCCTTCAGTTGATTTAAGGACTACCTGGTTTCTATCTAGTTCATTATTTCTTAACCATCTGTCAGTAATGCTGTAAACATGCCTTAATGAGACTGGATAAGCAACCAGTTCTTTTCCCAGAAAAAATCTTGTCTACTACCCCTACGTCCCACATGCCACTTACTGATTAGGTCCATGACTTCTCGGGTTAACATCCTCACCAGTTGCTCCTCTAACATCTCTTGAGACTCTGGGTTGTCATCCGCGGTGTCATCTTCCCCACTGCAGAAAAGCAGGGGGCCAAGTTCCACAGGAGTACAAAAGAGGGAAGGACAAGAAAAACAGTGCCCCTAACCAGACCATCTGTGCTCACTTCCTTCTCCTGGCTTCCTTTGGTCTACGTTCCACGCCAATGCTGGGAACGGGACAGCAACGATCCACTGAGGCAGACATTATTACTTGACTCTATCCAGTGGGCTAAAGGTACTAGATCAAAATCCAAAGTGGGTAAGGATGTCTCAGCACCCTCCTAAGACAGAATATGCCTAACGGTCACAGACAAGCCATCTACCATGTAGGCTGAGGACGACCATAACCTGCAGCTTTCTAGCCCTGAAGAACAGTGCTCCCACCAAGAGAAGAGATGCTTCTTACCACAGCAGGCTCCTCTGGTTGATGACTTGCCATTTCTGGGAAAGCCTCTGGGAAAACAAAAGGGAAATAATGCTGACAGTGGGGAAGAAGTTGGAACAGATAATATCTATGGTCCACTTCATGAGTAGAATGAACCGAAGATGATTCCAAGATCTCAATGACAGCCTTGGGAACCCCAGAAGGTTAAACTACCAGATGTGGTCTCTAGAACCTCTCTTGGGCCCGTGACAAGAACAGGGTATCCCATGCTTGGAAAGAATCAACAATACTGTAGAATTCCCAGGTCTTTCTGGACATTGTTCTCTACCCAGCTGGTCCTCCTGCTTAATCCCACAGTTGGGGAAACAGACCCAGAGGAGGGACTCCCCTGATCGCCTCTCCTCAGTTAACAGGAGGTCAGGAGCAGAACTAGAGTGTGCAGGTCTTCGTAGGCAACTGAATCAGTCTAGTTCAGGGGAAAGTGAAGGGGGGGCTCAATCCATCACAGCAAGCAAAGCCAAGAGCAGGGGACCCTTTCAGGAACTCCTGACTTGCAAAACTCATAGGACAGGCCAACCCGCCTAAGGGTCCTCTTTGCTCCCCCTTCTGACGAATCTCTTACCATGTGGAGGTAGGTGAAAAGAGGTCCAAGGATTGGAGACACCAGGGCTTCATAGTGCTCCGGGGGACAGAAGAGCACCAGAGGCTTCACAAAGACCCATGGCGCGGCGGGTTAAGAAGTTTTAGCACATGAACACAGACCCCTCTCTTTCCAAGGCACCCCTCTCCTGCCAGGCAGCAGGATACCCCTATGGGCAGAGTTAACCCTCAAAAGACCTACAAGATGCCTAGGACATTCTGTGTTAATAGGCAAAAATCTGGGGCACCTGGGTGGCTCAGCTGGTTAAGCATCTGCCTTCAGGTCAGGTCATGATCCCAGGACCCCTGCATCTCAGCAGGGAGTCTGCTTCTCCCTCTCACTCTGCCCCTCCCCTGCAGTTTATCTCCTCTCTCATGCTCTCTAATAAATAAAATCTTTTAAAAAGGGGGGGGGGCAAAAATCTTCAAACTCTTTTCCAAAAAGCCCTGGCTACTGAGGAATGGATGCTAGGCTGCACATTACAGGCATTTATTTGCCCAAAGAGGAGGAACACTCTCTTTTACCTAAAGTTCTCCTTTAACTCCAGGGAAGAAAGATACTCTCAAAAACATTTAAAAAAAAGAAAAGAGAGAGAGAGAGTCCAAATGGGAATGAAGTATGAGAGGAAGCACCTGACAGGATATAGAAGAGATTAAAAAAAAAAAACCAAAAACCCTTTGTCTGTCCTATTTCCAAGAAGTGGGTTGTCAAGATTTACCCCGAGGGAGAACACTTTGAAGACCTGCCCCCAGTCTGCCTTCCTGTTTTCCCGCCATTTACGCCAATCTTCTCGTCCACTGAATGTGATTATCACACACTCGGATAAATGATTCCATCTATTCCACACTGCTCAGCTCTGCCTCCTCCAGTGCCTGAGAGCAGCTCCTGTCTTCAATCTCCCAGCTCTTTGGGTTTATCTAGGGACTTTGGAAAGGATATGAAGCATGGGTCTGAGACGGTAGTCAGGAATATTGTTCAAGTTGACAAAGGCCGAGCTGAGGAGCTGAGTAGCCAGGTGCTCCACGGTGTAGAAGTCCTGCTGCATGGAAGGACCCGCCTTCCCGAGGATGTGGAAACTGCAAGGGAACATCACAGCCAGTGACAAAGCCCACCTTGGTCACTGCCAGCCCCGAACACCCCAGGAATTTCTAGCTTATCTCATTTGTAAGGTAACTTCAGCTCAATCAGTAATGCACCCCTCACCTGCCTTTAAGAGAACTTGATAGCCAATTTAGCCATCTTTTTAAAGACAGATGTTGGCACCTGAGATCAACAGTAGCCTTCATTACTTCGTAAGGAACACTGAGTTACAATGAAGAGTCTCTTTTGGTTAGCCTGGCTGAGCAGAGCACTTGGTGAGTGAGGACAACGTCTGGGGTGTGGTGTGCTACGGGATGGCCAGTTACCTCCCCATCCTACAACCAGGACGCAAAGAAAAAGTCTGCCTAGAGGCCTCCAGAGTCCCATTCAAAGTAGGTTGAGTGGTGAGGGCTCTGAGAAAATGCAGCCCTGCTCAAAGTATCTGACACTGTGGTCTCAGCATTTTATGCCCCGGAAACAGACCAGTTAGGCATAAAATGTCAAGTTATGGCTAGGGCCGAGACATACATGACAATTATAAAAAAGCAAATGCAAGAAAGTCAGCCAATTCATTTCGGTGTGACATTAGAATCATTGGTTTCCTGTCAAATTTTTACTTCATCTTACCTGAACACTAGAATCTACATCAGAAGTCCTATCCATGGCATTCCTATACTATACATGTCTAAAAAGAGAATAGGGGTGCCTGGGTGGCTCAGTTGGTTAAGCAGCTGCCTTTAGCTCTGGTCATGATCCCAGGGTCCTGGGATCGAGTCCTGTAACGGGCTCCCTGCTCAGCAAGGAGTCTGCTTCTCCCTCTCCCCCTGCACCTGTTTGTGTTCCCTCTCTCACTGTGTCTCTGTCAAATGAATAAATAAAATCTTTTTTTTTTTAATAAATAAATAAATAAATAAAAAGAATAGAGAGAAGTAGCACTGGTTCCTTACCAGTTTTCATAGAGGGTGGAGAAAAAACGCTGCATCCTTTCCAAGACCGTTTTGTAGACAGGAGAGTCATTCAGTTCCAAGAGAGGCTGAGGTAAGCCTACAGGGAAAGATGGGTCATGAACATGCTTTTCTGCTGCCAAGGATCTTAACCTGCCGACACCCTACCACAGGCAGATGTGGTGTGGGGTGACAAGTGCCGTAAACACAAAGCAGCTCGCCATGTCTTCTACCAAATGGAGGTGTTATGAGCTCCCTTCAAGGTGACTGCAATGTTGTTTTTGGCAAGGAAAGGGGGAAACTTTTTCAGTGATCCTGACTTCAGACTAGACCTGGGCACTCCAACTTAAGCCTGGGGTTCTCCAGATGGGACTTGTACCAAAACACAGGATGACAGCTCAAAATGATCTCTTCATAAAGCACTGGGGATGCCCCCCTGCCCTGCTTTTTAAGTCGTGGAACCTTTCAAGCAACACTTCATGCAAAAGCCCAACATGTAAGGCAAATCAAAATGAAACTCATTATCGTCTGACCAAGATCTTGAAGATCCAAAAGAGCTAAATTTCTCATCAGAGGCAGTTTTTAATTTCAAGTCTTGCTCACGGCTGGAAGCTGACAGAGGGAACTGTCTGTCCATTCTAGTATGTTTTGGGTGACCATCTATTTCTATAGGAGGAATTCCTGGCTTTATTTGAATAACTGAATGGCAGGTTGGGGGAGTGGGAATGGGTGGTGAAGCAATACCTATTTTTTATAGAAATTACATTTCTTGATATTCTATTTTTATTTTCTGTAATGAGGACCTTTAGTGCAGTGATGCCAAAGGAAAAGGCCCAGGACCATGTAAGCCGAGACACACAGAAACAAGCTCCAGAAAGGCCAATTAACACCCTTCTTTTCATGACTGTCACAGCCGAGGAATGCTCACTGGCCTGCTTACTGACAGCTAGGCCCAAGCCCAGGTTACTGCTGGGAACGGAGAGACCCTGTGGGGGCTGTGATGGTGAGCCAGCACAAAGCTTCAGAGACGGGCACAAGGGTTAGGCAACTCTGGACGTCCCTGGCTCAAACTTCTCACCACTGCCTCGCTCTGTGTGTTCCAGCTGCATCGGGTCACCACTCTACTTCCTGGATACACCAGGCTCTTCCCTGCATGCTGCAGCATCTCATACCTGCCATTCTGTTTGCCCAGAAGGCTCAACATCTCTTGTCCAACCTGAGGAGCTCCTTCCTTCTTATCCTTCAAGTCTCTACTAGGAGGCAGTCCTCCAACTCCTCTCCAACATGGGTGAGGTTTCCCAATAAACACATGGCCACTTCCCTTCCCAGCACAAATCACACGATTGCACAGTTACTAAGGTGAAAAATGAGTTATAGCAACACTTGAATCAAGGTAACAACTGGGAGACATGGTTTAGAACCTATTCCTTTAAAATTTTTAATAATAGATATACAGCTAATTGAAGCTATTTTAGTTTAACTGCTTTTAAGATTCATTTATCTAAAAGCTTAACTGATTTATCACTTTTTTTTCATATGTGAAAGCAGGAAAAGTCTGCCAGCATCCTTCAGGTCAAAGAACCATGGTTTATTTATAAGCTAAAGACTGACACACACCTCTACCTGGAAGGGTTAACACTGCAGAGGGGGTGGCAGAGGGGAGAAACTGCCTCTACAGACCGAAGATAATGACGTCAACGCACTTGTTCCTGGAGACCCTGTAGGAACTCCACAGAGAAATAGGCGGTTAAGGTAGTGCCAGGCAAAGAGGAGGGGATGGTGACACAGGCACGCTGAAGCTGCTGGAGGGTCCATTAGAGGTAAGGTAAACTTCAAGAAAAGAAAAAATGGACCGATTTCTTACCTAAAATCGCAGATTTCTCTGCTTCAAGCATATCCAGAGCTTTTGTGAAAGGCTCTGCCATCTTGGCCAGCATTTCTGGTGCATATAAAGTATTGTGAGTTCTGCAAGAAACAATGACACTATGTGAACTTTTCCTAGTCGGCCTGCAGAAGGAAAGAATGGGTTTCATCCTGTAACTCAGTGATACTACACATCCACATAGAATTTAAATGTTTCCCTGGCACCAGGAATAGACTATTTGGCTGTATAGTATTCAATACCTAAACGCAATCAAGACGAGAAGCAAATCCTGAGACAGCTGGATGCTATCACGATCTAAAGCCAGAAAGGAAAATTCTTTTTTAAAAAGACTTGTTTTAAAGAGAGGGAGAATTGCCTTCTTAGCGCAGCGGGCAGCGCGTCAGTCTCATAAAGAGAGGCAGAGAGAGCCTGCGCATGCCGTGCATATGAGTGGGGCGAGGGACAGAGGGAGAGGGAGAGAACCCCAAGCAGACTCCACACCCAACACAGAGCCCAATGCAGGGCTCGATCCCACAACCCTGAGGATCATGACCTGAGAGGAAGCCAAGAATCAGATGCTCAACCGCTCGACTGACTGAGCCCCCAGGCACCCAGGGACAGAAATTCTTTCAAACCTGAGGTAATGCCTGGGCACTCTCAGTTTGCAGACTGACAGGGAGAGATGTTAGAGGCCCTGTGCTTTCAAAGGCTAGAACACAGAGCAGGTAATGAAACGCCCCCACGTTCAGATGTCTGGTTTTCATTCTAAGAGCCTGGACCATACAATGCTCTGACAGTTGCTTCTGCCTGCTGGAAGGACTGTCACAGCTCCCAAGAGAAGACCAAAATGCCTCATCTGAGCAGTCACTGGCTGTGGAGGACTAAGGAGCAATGACTGCGGACTTGAGCTAGTGCCATCCACAGCTGTCAGCCCTTCTCACCCACAGCAACGGCACCACCAACAATCCACAGGCAGAGTGTAACCACCTATCTTTCTTTTAAAAGGTAATTATAATAAGATTTCAAAGAGAAATCTTACAAAGAGAAAGTTATAAAATATAAGAGAAAAAAACAGAAGGGTTAAATATTTAAGATGCACACTGAACAGGGCACCTGGGTGTCTCCATCGTGAAGCATCTGCCTTCGGCTAAGGTCATGATCCCAGGGTCCTGGGATCAACCCCTGCATTGGGCTCTCTGCTCAGTGGGGAGCCTGCTTCTCCCTCCCCCACTCCCCATGCTTATGCTCCCTCTCTTGCTGTCTCTGTCAAATAAACAAATAAAATCTTTAAAAAAAATGCACACCAAACAGATCATTTTAGACCATGCTTTTAAATTAAAAAAAATACTCAACACTGTTTATTAAATCTAAACATGTACACTCAGTACAAACATTTTAACTTTTAGGATGCCACTTAATTCGTTCTAGTTTATCTCCCCACCTCCCTGAGCGCTAATAAGTTTGTCTCCTCTTCTAGCAATAAGCTTTTCTGCAGAGTTCTTGTGTACACATGTTGAGTTTCTCTATGGTGGACAAGCACACTGAATTGCTGGATACTGGTGCTTTGCAAGTCACGTGCTGCAAACGTCTTCTCCTGGTCCGTGGCCTGGCTTGCTTATACTGATTATTTCCAATAGGCTTTATGACCTCCCGTTTTTTCCATTGTGGTAAAATACATATAACATAAAATTTATCACTTTTAAGTGTACAGTTCAGTGGCACTAAATACACTCAGACTGTTGTGCAACCATCACCACTATCCATCCCCTATTTTTTGTCTTATAAAACTGAAACTCTGACCTAATAAACAGTATCTCCCCATTCTTCCCTCTCCTGGCTCCTGGCAACCACCATTATACTTTCTGACTTTAGGATTTTGACCATATTCAGCATCTTATGTAAGTAGAATCCTACAGGATTTGTCCTTCTGTGACCAGCTTCTGTCATTTAGCACAATGTCCTCAAGGTTCATCCATGTTGTACCATATTGAAGAACTGCCTCCCTTTTAAAGGCTGAAAGATATTCTATTGGATGTACATATCACATTCATCCACTGATAGACACTTGGGTTGCTTCCACTTATTTTTGTTAATGATTTTATTTTTAAGTAATCTCTATACCCAATGTGCGGCTCCAACTTACAACCCTGAAATCAAGAGTCTCATGATCTTCCGACGGAGCCGGCCAAGCAGCTTCCAGGTTTTAGCTAGTATAAATAATGCTGCTATGAATTTGAGTGTATAAATAAGTCTCTGAGACCCTGTTTTCATTCCTTTTGAGAACCCAGAACTAGAATTGCTGGATCATATGATATTACTTTTATTTTTTTGAGGAACAGTCCAACTGTTTTTTTGCAGCAGTCCCATTTTATATTCCCCCAACAGTGCACTCCCATGATTATTAGTAACTGCTTAGAGTGACCCACATATTCTTTAGGCTGTTACCTTCTCTTCAATCTTTTTTTCTGTTCCTCAGCTTCATTAATTTCATTATCTTATTATTTTTTTTTTTTTGAAGATTTTATTGACAAGAGACAGACACAGCGAGAGAGGGAACACAAGCAGGGGAAGCGGGAGAGGGACAAGCAGGCTTCCCATTGAGCAGGGAGCCTCATGCAGGGCTGGATCCCAGGACCCAGGAATCATGACCTGAGCCAAAGGCAGATGCTTAACTGATTGAGCCACCGAGGCGCCCCTCAACTTTTAACATGTAAAACTTAAGGGAAACTTCCAAGCAGGGAATGACTGGGGCCAAGGGCAGGTCACACCCTCTGTCCCCTCCCCAGCCCCCCCACCTCCCCACTGCCAAGAAGTAGGAACAGTTAGGTAACTAGCAGTTAATCTCCATTTCTCCCTTCCTCCAGCTTCTGGGAGCACCAATTTACTGCCTCTATAGATTTATCTATTAATAAGTAGATAAATTTATCTATTGATATTTCACACAAATGGAATTATAAATCAGAATTATAAATGGAATTATACAATACATGGCCTTCTGTGTCTGGCGTCTTTCACTCAGCGTAATAGTTTTAAGGTTCTTCTACATTACAGCACATTAATAATCCTTCCTTCCTTCCTGTGGCTGGATATCTGCATCTCCACTGATTGGCTACTGTGATATAGTGCTGGGAGAACATTACTCAGCAAGTATTTGTTTGCATACCTGTTGGCAACTCTTCAGGGTATATATGCATGAGTGGAAATGACAGGTCATGTGATAATTCTATATTTAAATTTCTGAAAAATAAACCATTTTCTTTTTTCCATAGTAGCTAAACCATTTTATGTTGCTCACCGGCAATGCACAAGGGTTCTAGTTTCTCCTCATCATTGCCAAAATGTATAATTCTGGGGTGGGGGTGTATGATGAGGCACAGAGGGAGAGGGACTCTTAAGCAGGCTGCATGGAGCCCGACACAGTGCTCAATCTCACAACCCTGAGATCATGACCAGAGCTGAAATCAAGAGTCAGGTGCTTAACTGAATGAGCCACCCAGGTGCCTCATAATTTTGTTTCTTTTTTAAAGATTACTTATTTAATAAAGAGAGAGCAGAGCAAGTGAGAACATGAGTGGTGGGGAGGGACAGACTCTGGAGAAGGAGAAGCAGACTCCCTGCTCAGGAGGAAACCTGATACTGGGCTCGATCCCAGTATCTGATCATGACCTGAGCCAAAAGCAGACACTTAACTCACTGAGCCACCCAGGTGCCCCATAATTCTGTTTCTAAAATAATTATTATTACTATTTATTTCAACCATTCTGTTGGGTGTGAAGTGGTATCTCATGGTTTCAATTTGCACTTCCCTAATTAGACCTTTAATGATGATGAGCATCTTTTTTGGTGAGTCTGGGGGGATTTTCATTTATGAATGGAGATAGTTTACTTCTTTTCCAATTTGGATACCTTTATTTCTTTTTCTTGCCTTAATTCTCCATCTACGACTGCCAGTACACAATGTCAAATGGCAGTGGAACTGGGCATCCGTGTCATGTTCCTGATGGTAGGAGGAAACCACTCCATCTTTAATCACTGAGTAAGATATAAACTATGGATTTTTCTTAAGAATAATTTTTCATGTCAAACAAGTTCCCTTCTACTCACAGTCTGCTGAGTGTTTTTATCATCAAAAGGTGTTAAATTTAGATTTTGTCAAATGCTTTTTTGTGTCAATTAAGATGATCACGTGGGTTTTTTCCTTTGTTCTATTAACATGGTGTATTACACTACTTTATTTTTGTATGTTAGAGTACTCTTACACCCCTGGGCTAAACTGCACTTAGCTCGGTGTATAATCTCTCAATCATGCCGTTGGGAGTCACTCTGCTCCTATTTTGTGAGGCCAGCCAAAACTCTGCCGTAGCCTTTATCTACTGCTGTGCAGAGCCCAAGAATTGGTAAAAGGTGCCACATACTTTGAAAAGCTGCAATTTGGTTTCTACTATAAGTCTTTCCCAGTGGTTTGGGAAGATGGCTAGTACTATGAAATGATCTCTGAAAAAATCAGTTCTTACTGAGAAGAAAAAGTTTTGAGTCTGACTGGGAGCAGACAAGCTATCTGTTTTTTTATCTTTTAATTAAGTGTGGCTGTGACCTCAAGATGTAATTTTAAAAAGATATTATTAACGCATTCTTGGTCAAACATCCCTGACACTACAACAGAATCTTGTATTCCTTATGGTCTCCCCTCCTCCTGCTCAAGAACATGATGGTCCCATGGGGCTACATCTCTAACTCATAAGAAGTGGCATGAGGACTCAAGAGTATATATTGCTTCTATATCGCTGATTTCCTGTCAGTGCTCACAGCAGGGACATCTACAATTCCTCGTAATGTTTAGGCTCCTGAAACATCACCTTTCCTGACTCTCCTGCAAGGCAGGGTTCTGCGCTTCCACGTTAAGAGAAAACTAGTTACTGCTCAGCAAAGAAAAACAACCAGGTAACAAAAGTTTTAAGTTTTGTATGATCTGTACCTATGTGAAATCTTCTCAGTACTACCTGAGGAGTATAGTCACTATGCTAAACAAGAGATCACACAGATAAAGATTTTGAGAAAATATATAGAAGACATACAGATATAACTAACAAACTTCATGTTAACAGAAAAGGTGTTATCATTTTAACAGATGAAGACGACAATGCACCTTTTGAGAACCCGAGTTCTGCTCCCCACATCTGTCCTCCATCTGACCCACTAGGAACAACATTATTTAACAGAAATATAATGTAAGCCACATGAGCCAATTAAAATTTTCTAGCCAGGAACACCTGGATGGCTCAGTAAGTTAAGCGACTGCCTTCGGCTCTGGTCATGATCCCAGGGTCCTGGGACCAAGCCCTTACATGGCGCTCCCTGCTCATCAGAAGTCTACTTCTCCCTCTGCTCCTCCCCCTGCTCCTGCGCACGCGCACATGCATGCATTTGCACGCTCTCTCAAATAAGTAAAGTCTTTTAAGAAATACATAAAACAAAATTTTCTAGCCAGCCAAGCTTAGAAAGCAAAAAGAAACAGGTCATATTAATTCTACTTAACCCAATGCACACAAAACAAACATACATCATTTCAACATCAATATAAAAAATTAACAAGATATTTTATATTCCTTTCTTGTACCAAGTTTCTGAAATCTGGTGTGTATTTTACACTTACAGCCTATCTCATTTCAGACCAGTCACATTTCAAGTGCTCGATAGCCAGCCCCACGTGACACTGTTACAAGACTATATGACAAGGAGTTAAAACTCACAGCTCCAATACCCAACTGGTGGGAATACCAATTTTAGTACATCACTTTAGAAAACTCTTTGGTTCTATCTACAAAACAGAAAATATGCATACATTATGAACCAAGAATTCTACTCTTACATGTAGGATTCTATTCCAACCCAAAAGAAATTATGTATGCCCCCCAAAACATTTACAAGAATGCTAACAGCAGCACTACTGCACTATTTTTAACAATAAAATGCTGGAAACTACCGAAAAGCCCACCAATTCTAAATGAATAAGTAAGTGACAGAATAATTACAAAACAGACTACCATGCCGGCAATGTGAAAGAGTGAACCACAAGGACACGCAGTAACTCGGACGACTCACAAATTACTGAGCAAGAGAAGCCAGACACCAAGGCATGCATGCTTCTGACTCCATTGATGAAAACTCAGAAAACCAGGCAAAATGTGGGAAAGTCAGAATACCGGTTCCCCCTGAAGGACAGGTACTGACTTGAGGTGTTTGCTAGGTTGCTTGTTGGTCTGGGTGCTGATCGCAGGAGCGAGCTTCCCTTGTGAAAGTGCAGCTATATGCAATCATAATTCCTGTCCTTTCCTTACATCTGTTTGTGCCCTTACATCACACTTCAAGATAAAACTCACTACAAAAACAAGACAAAACTCTAATAGCTCCAGATGCATACTATTCAAAGAATCAAACTCCATAACTGTGGTGAACGTTTTTTCAAAATATCTTCTGCCTCCGGGATTTTCCAAAAACACTCAGTTCTTAAAAAAAAGTATCAAGATGACAACCATTCTATTCTTATGGTCTTGCCCAATCAGGAATAAACTTTCTTTCCAGGTCTGGGCTCCCACCACAGGGACTCTGGCCATAAGCCTAAAAAGAATGTTGCTAACTGACTCCATCACTTTTACTTTTCTCTAAGCTACAGGAGAACTTTCTGTTTGTTGTTGTTGATTTTTAAAACCCTACCCCTAAATGTGATGGTATTAGGAGGTGGGATTTTTTTTTTTTTAATTTATTTATTTATTTGACAGAGAGAGAAATCACAAGTAGGCAGAGAGGCAGGCAGAGAGAGAAGGGGAAGCAGGCTCGCCACTGAGCAGAGAGCCCGATGTGGGGCTCGATCCCAGGATCATGACCTGAGCCGAAGGCAGAGGCTTTAACCCACTGAGCCACCCAGGGGCCCCAGAACTTTCTGGTTTTAAAAACACCAATATGGAAGCAAACCTTTCCTTGACTAGATATTTTACTACGCTCTCAATATGCAAGCCATACTTCTTTACTGAAATGTCTTTCTTCCTTTTGAAATGAGAACAAAAGAAAGCCTTTTTCTATAGACAGATCCCCAGTGACCACTCTTTCAGACACTCCAGCTCTCCAATTTGGTCAACTTTAACTTAAACCCTTGGATTCTTAAGCTGATGATCTACAGAGTCTGCTTCTAGCACTGTGTCCCAGAGACATGAGTCATTTGGTTTGCCCATTTGAGATACTGCTCTTCCACCCTGGGTAAGAGGCCAAAAACCACTGGAACAGAATTCTAGCCTGTAACTCAGAAATACTATGAGAGAGAGAAAAGAATCACGGGGCGCCTGGGTGGTGCAGTCGGTTAAGTGTCTGCCATCGGCTCTGGTCACGATCCCAAGGTCCTGGGATGAGGTCTCCGAGTTTGGCTCCTTACTCGGCACGGAGGCTGCTTCTCCCTCTCCGTCTGCTCCCCGCCCCCCCACCCCTGTGCTCATGCACTCTCTCTCAAAATAAATGAATAAAATCTTAAAAAAAAAAAAATGATATAAAAAAGAATCACTCTGCTTTGGCCAGTAAGAACTAAATTCTAGCCATAGCCTACTTTTCTCTGTAGTATGTCCCTGAATCATCAAGCATATCTCAGGTAACCAACAAGTAGAGGCCTGGCCCACTTCTACTTGAATACATTAGCTCATGTGATTTCTAACATTGACTCTGAACCTTTAATGTAACCACCTGGAGAGCTTGTTAAAACATATGGGGTGGGGTCCCGATTCTGCATTTCAAACAAGCTTCTTCGGGGATTGATGCTGCTACTGGTCTAAGGAGGCTTTGAGAATTAAAGACCTAGGAAACAGGTGGAACATGTATCATGCCTTCCTTGGGCATGATCATGCATGTTTGGTCCATTTGAGGGCAGAGTCGTTATTGGTAAATTCAGGTGAGCTCATCTGAATACCACTCAGAAGAACCATTAAGAAAGCAACTGTCCTGCTCCCAATAAACAACTCCTTCAGTGGCAAAAATTTGGACAAATAAAACCTCAAGTAAAAAGCAGAGACAAGGGGCACCTGGGTGGCTCAGCTGTTAAGTGTCTGCCTTCGGCTCAGGTCATGATCCCAAGGTCCTGGGACTGAGCCCCACATTGGGCTCCCTGCTCAGCAGGAAGCCTGCTTCTCCCTCTCCCACTCCCCTTGCTTGTGTTCCCTCTCTCTCTCTGTCAGTCAAATAAATGAATAAAATCTTAAAAAAAAAAAAAAAGTAGGTACAAAGTATAAGGAAGTAGGAGAGGAGCATAGAGAAGAGGCTCCAAATGAGAAAAGCCATTTTGGGATCAGCCGTCATGTGTTCACTTGGAACGTAAGACTCAGGCAAGTGAGGGCTACTGATATTAAAAAAAAAAAAGAGAGATCCCAGTCGAGAAAAAAACAAGAACTATTCCGTTTACTAACCACCGTGATCTGAAGAAACAGAAACAGATTACACTTTAGAGATTCTTAAGGTAAAAAAATTAAACAACAGAAAAACCATTATTGCAACTCACCTTATAAGTGCAAGCAAATTGTCAAGAAGTTTCAGAATCTGTTCTGTGCAGGGGTTACGGAAGATTGGATTTCCACTGGGCGTATAACCCACGATGAATCCCCCAGCTTTGGCCTCTTCTAGGTCAGTGGGCCAGCAAGTTCGTTTCACAACACCCAGAATGCTATATACACAAAAGCTCATCTACAGAAAAACATAAAACAAAGGTAGCCATAAAGAGGACGAAAATCAAAAGTGTTATTACACACATGCAAGATTACGGCAAATGTGATACCAGAGGCCAGGGAGAAGGAAAGGACCCTGCCCCCATCCCATCCCTTCTTTTAGGGTCAGTCTAAGAGGGGTCCTTTCATTGCTATCTTCAGGATGAGTGGTGGGCTCCTGAAGTTTCCTTTACATGAGGCTGTTCTACCAAGGGCTGCAATGACCCCCTTGCAGGATCCCAATTAAAAGATGCCTGGACACTGCTTCACAACCAAGTCCTTAGACTGCCAAAATTTTGTCTTATTTTGGGTGACCTCAGACCCTCCAGCTTGGACCTTGATAGCTTTTGCCCTAATCCTCACTTGTGGTCCCCTCAACCAGCCTACTACCTGCTAGTTTTATTAGTAAGATTCGCCATACTGGAGCCAGGAACAAGGCTTACTTCAATAGCCCAGAACTGAAGAATCTCAGGTTTGCAAATTAGACCATCTTAGGATGCTACATGCCAGGGAGCACTGGCAGGGAGGACGCACACTGCTGACCCAATTCCCCATCACACCTTCAGTGTGTCTTTGGAGCTATTTAGGGATCCTTAAAGCCAAATAACGACTTCGAAGAAAAGACTATCTGCTCTGCTGCGGGAACTAACTCAAGAACTCAAGACTAGGGACGCCTGGGTGGCTCAATTAAGCGTCTGCTTTCGGCTCAGGTCAGGGGCTCTGGGATCAAGCCCTGCATTGGTCTCCCTGCACGGGGGGCGGGGGGGAAGTCCCCTTCTCCCTCTGCCCCTCCCACTCTCTCTCTCCCTCTTCTGTCAAATAAAAAAATAAAATCTTATAAAAAAAAAAAAAAGAATTCAAGACTAAAGAAAAGAAAGGAGAAACTTAGGGAAGTGAAGACTTCCAGATTTCTCACGCATGTAGAAGAAACAGAGATCTGTAAAAGACTCTACAAATGGTGGAGTCTCTAGTCCAACCTGTGGCCTCTGCAGCTTCCAATTCCCAGGAGAGGCTTACTCACTCGTGCGCGGTTTAGACCACAGGGATCCTCTGGGCCTGGGTCACAGCTCTTCCGATCGGCGCCCACGTAGGCAATAAAAGCATCTACATCTGACAGCACTCTGAAAGTTGGAGTGGGAAAGACAAGTCATAATAAGACTTTAAGCACAGATGGTTTCTTCTACAAAAGCTAATAAACTATGATTATTTGGCCCCAAAGAGCACTTGCTACAGTGAGAGGAATTTAATCATTGTCAGCTGTTATTTGAAGGTTGAAATGCCTCTTCCCACTTCTGAATGTCATTAGTAAAAAGGACGCAGGCTTGAGAATGCTACATGGGCACAATGAGTGTCTGTCCATGTGGCCCCTCCTGGCTGTTCTCACATGTCTACGTGGGCTGGCACCGCACTCTGCAGACACCGCAGGTACTCTGTGGCCTCCCGACTATACTACCCATCTCTTCTCATTTCTTCCCTCTCCTTACACCTCAGAACTCACACGGTGATATTTTCAGCAACCCGCATAAAAGACTTCTTCTGGAGAACTCAGATGTCACTGATGAGCCATCACCCCGTGAGATCCTTACACGGGCACCCTAGGCATAGCTCTTTAAATGCAGGATGGGTGCTCCAGTGCGGTGAGGGTCTGGGGCAAAGGCTCTCCTCTACCTGTGCATGTCTTCAGAAAGCCAGATGCTGGCCACTGGTGCCATCAGCTCCTCTAGGAACACCTTCTGACGCTCGTAGTTCTTGAATTGGTTGCTAATGAGAACCAGGGCTTCCATGAGGGCACACTTCTCCATTTGTGTCAAGAGTAACTCATTGGAGAGGAGTTGCTTCACATGGTTATAAAGCATGTCAAAATTGGGCTGCAGATTACAAAGAAAAAAACCCAAAGGTGGTGAAAGTCTGATTTTTAAGGAGAGGTGGGTCACTCAAGGAAGGCGGAGAGAGAATCAAGGCATTCCTAGGAAGGTCAGGCCTATAAGGCTGTCACTTCAGTAATTTAGTTACAATGTCCTGCTTTTGCCTGAACAAGCCAGGCAATGGAAGCAGAAAGTGGTTCTTGTCTTGGGTATTTGTACTTTCCCAAAAAGTACTGTGAAAACTATAGGTCTTTTTTTCTATTTCAATTTTATAGTCTATTCATAGACAAAGATTAGCTTGTTTATATATGTTAGGGAGACACATAACTGATGTGTATTCAGAGAAGAAATTTTTGATTAATTTCTAATCTAGAATAGTGCTAAATTTCCTATAGAAACCCTCTGAAAAAGGTTGGGATTTGCATCTGGCTTCTCTCAAGATTAGGCACACCATTTGGCAGTAAACAACATCACACAGGAAAGATGTGTACATTGACAGGAAAAACTTGGTCATCTACATGGGCAAGAATACTCATCCTGAGGGAATATATTTGCATTTTTAATTACACCACTAAGCAGGAGAGGAAGAAGACACCAACTCAAGAATGCTTATTTGAAGCAAAACTACAATTCCTTGTTTTCTCCTTATGTGAGGTATAATTAGGGCTGGATTTACAGAGGACTGTAACTAAACTCGACAGGTCTCAGTGGCTACTTGGTCGGAGTCCAGCAGCTTACCAATACGAGCTGGGGGTAGTCACGACACGTCTTGATGATGGAGGAACAAGCGTGTCTCCTCACATTCCTCACTGCCCGGGTTCTGGGGGCCTGGGAAGACATATTCAACAAACCTGGAGCCACTTTTAATAAAATTTATAGATGCTGCTTAGAATCACATGAATTATTTCCTTCAAAGGCAAATTCACAATCAATTTTCACAATGTGGGAGTTTAATGGAGTGACATTTACAGTCACCATGAATCCACGTGTTCACTGTTTTTGCCTTAGAGTATCTCTGACCGTCTCCTGCCTTTACTAACTCCTTCTACCTATTAAAAAAATCTAGACTTAGGTGTTAGGCATTCACAGTTTTGTTCTCCAGAAGTTAGGATTTGTTGGGTGAATTAATGGTCTTACCTTACTTTCTTCAACAGTTTCAAAAGTGACAGATGAAAATAGCTAAGGGTAAGAAAGAAAAGGTTACTCATCAGTACCAAATGCATGAAGTGTTTTCAACAGCAGTTGGCATAGTTTCCAACAAAATCTCAGAAGTATAAACAATATGCTAACAGCAGGGTTTTCAATCGGTGTTATGAAGTTTCAGATGTTTATCTGCTCAGATAACTCGACAAGAGGCTAGAGATTCACAATCCTACCATCAAACATCTTTTAAAGGTGGAGGCCACAGAACCCCGAACAATCCAAGCCCTCAGCCAAACACTCAGCTATGGTGATACCCTTTGATTCCACTGCGTAACTTCGTAACTTCTCATAGACTCTTTCACCTAATACAGCGTGACTACTGCAAAAGTCACCAGGATGGAATTATACTCTAACAAAAGTCTAATCAAGAAACCCCATGGGATGCCTGGGTGGCTCAGTTGGTTAAGCGGCTGCCTTTGGCTCAGGTCATGATCCCAGAGACCTGGGATCGAGTCCCACATCGGGCTCCTTGCTCAGCAGGGAGCCTGCTTCTCCCTCTGCCTCTGCCTGCCACTCTATCTGCCTGTGCTCACTCTTGCTCTCTCTCTCTGACAAATAAATAAATAAAATCTTAAAAAAAAAAAAAAAAAGAAAAGAAAAGAAACCCTATGGAGGGATGCCTGGGTGGCTCAGTTGGTTAAGCACCTGCCTTCAGCTCAGGCCATGATCTCAGGGTCCTGAGATCAAGCCCCTCATCGGGCTCCCTGCTCAGTCTGCTTCTCCCTTCCTCTCTGCCCCTCTGCCCTGAGCGCACTCTTTTTTTCTCATAAATAAATAAAATCTTAAAAAAAAAAAAAAAAAGAAAGAAAAAGAAAAAGAAACCCAAAAGATATTCCCTAGTTCTTAGAGACTTTCTGTTGCAATGAATGCAACGAATTAAAGTTCTACTGACCTGGGACACCTGGGTGGCTCAGTTGATTAAGTGGCTGCATCCCAGCATTGTGGGATCGAGTCCCACATCGGGCTCCCTGCTCAGCAGGGAGCCTGCTTCTCCCTCTGCCTTTGCCTACCACTCTGTCTGCCTGTGCTCACTCTCTCTGGCAAATAAATAAATAAAATCTTTAAAAAAACAAACAAACTTCTACTGACCTTTGTAACACAACATTTTTTCATTTCTCTGGCTGTATCTTTATTCTTTCTTTGGGGTATTCTCCTTCTTTGCCCTCCTCCCCCAAAGATGATAATCCTCAGAGTTTCCTGCTTGAGCCACATGTCCAACTCTACATACGTATCACCCTCTTTCCTAGGGCTTCACCTCTGCTCTAGGCACTTCTATGATGATGCCACCTTAATACTGTAATCTTCCAGACTCTAGACCTTTAACGATAGCCAACTGATTGTGAAGTATCCTCTCCTAGATGTTGTACATACACTCCAAATGTAGTATTCCCAAACCCAGCCCTCAAATGTAGTATTCCCAAACTCAGCCCTCTTCCTCATTCTTACTGGTTCCATTATTCTCAGTCAGGTAGCGCTCTACTACTCACCTAAACAGGAAACCCAAAAACCATTCACACTAATTTCTCTCACATATCCCCTCCGAATAAACGGAGAGCACACTGACACCTTCTTTAGGTGTTCTTTTCCACTTCTCAGTATACTCGTCTATTAATTATAAAACCACATGGGTACAACAACTGTTTATGTGATTTTATTTCCAAATGGTAAGCAAGGCTTTTCTACCAGCATGGTGCCCAATCCACAGTAAGTACTGAATACCTGATGAATGAATACATGACTGTTCATCAGCTTGTCTCAAAGACTCTCAAAAACAATCACAAAAAAATAATTAGTTCAAAAATACTCAAAGTTTACAAAGGAGATGGAATTTACCTTAGAGAAGACCTGGGGCAGGAACTCTGGTCTGTAGGTGACAAACGGAAAGAGTGCTGAGACATTAGTGAGGACACAGGACAGGATGAGAGGATCCTTGGTGTTAAAGTTCAGGACCATTTGCAACAGCTCTATTCCATCATTAACAGGAACCGCCTGTAATACAGACAATGAAAAAGATGTTGACATGACTGATGAGCACTTTTGGTAAAATTTCCTTTAGGACTTGGTTTATAAATGTGTGATGTGGTTGCTACATATGGTTTTTTGTTCTTTTTTTTTAAAGATTTTACTTATTTATTTGACAGACAGAGATCACAAGTAGGCAGAGAAGCAGGCAGAGAGAGGAGGAAGCAGGTTCCCTGCCGAGCAGAAAGCCCGATGCGGGGCTCAATCCCAGGACCCTGGGATCATGACCCGAGCCGAAGGCAGAGGCTTTAACCCACTGAGCCACCTAGGCGCCCCTACATATGGTTTTATATACTGCTTTTTAACCTGAAAATTCTAAGCATTACCCTGTGTTATTAAAACTTTTCCTAAATGATGCTACCATATGCCATCTTAAGGATGTAGCTTTTCCTATTACTAGAAATTGAGAATGTTGCTAGTTCTTTACCTATTATCAATGGTGCTAACACATCTTTGCAAAAATGTTTTGGCTACATTTTCGCTTATTTCATTTGAGGCAAAGACTTCTGGGGATAGTGAGAATTACTGAATCAAAAGGTATGAATACTTCTAAGTCACATTGTTTTTCTTTACAGGCTGTATCAATTGATTCTCTGTCCAGCAATACGCCCTTCTTACCATGTTCTTAGCAGCAGGTTGTGTTTATTCCCTAAAACCTTTGCAGTTAAGTTAAACAATAAGTTTATTTAAATTTGCATTTCTTCAATTACTAATGAGGACTGAATTTTTTTCATGTATTTACTAACTACTTTTATTTCTCTTCTCTACAAAAATCTCATCTTTTGTCTCTTCCCCACTGGGTTCTAGTGCTTTTTTAAATTTATACATAAAAAAATCTTATTGTAGGGGCGCCTGGGTGGCTCAGTGGGTTAAAGCCTCTGCCTTCGGCTCAGGTCATGATTCCAGGGTCCTGGGATCGAGTCCCATATCAGGCTCTCTGCTCGGCAGGGAACCTGCTTCCTCCTCTCTCTCTCTCTCTCTCTCTGCCTGCCTCTCTGCCTACTTGTGATCTCTGTCAAATAAATAAATAAAACCTTTTAAAAAAAAAATCTTACTGTAAAATATTCTAGACCTTTAGAAAGGGGTAAGCAGTACTTGTATAACTCTCCACGTGACCACTTTGAGATGTACAATGTTACTGATATTGGTTGCTGTGTATACATCCGCTTCTTCAGCCCTAGAGGTAGCCAATGTCCTGAATCTGGCGCTCACATTTTCAAGGATTCCATCATTCCATACACTTCTGCCACAAATGTACATACTCCTACTAATTACACAGAGTTGCATGTTTACTTTTGTAGATTGTTGTTTGGGGTCACCATCATGTTTATGAGAATCATACTTATTCATAGTACATCCCAGTTCCTTTTCACTCGTCTATAAACATATTATCATCTGTACAATCTACTGAGGGTTATTAAGTTTCTTCCTTGGCTCAACATTTAAGGATTCTATAGTATATTGGATGCTCAGCGCCCATGCAGGGGTTTCTTCAGAGCACAGACTTAGGAGTGAAGTTGCTGGGTCATAAGGCTAGGCGTCTTCAACCAGACATTGTCAAATTATTCTCCAAAGCTGTGATATCAATTGTACTCAAAAAGCAATGTATAAGAAATATGTTTTTATAGTAAGAATATTAATCCCATCATATTTATTGCAAATATTGTTCCAAGTTTGCCTTTCAGAGTTTATTTTATAGTATGTTTAAAAAAAAGTAGTTAAAGCCATTCACATTTCTAGGATTACTTCGTTTTTCAACTTAGGGACTTTTCCTCAAAGAGTTAATTTTCCCTAATGCTATTTATGAAATGAGCCATTCCTTCTTGATTTCTCTGGAATGCTTATATATGCTCCAGGTTGTTTCTGGGCTATTTTGTCCCAAGGAGCTCTATCTAATGTCAGTACCACACTGCCTATGAAATATCGTAGTTTCATATTTTACTATCTGAGGCAAATCAATCCTTGTCTTCTTCAAAATGTGACTCTCCCCCCCGCCAAAGCTATTCCCTGTATTAATCCATTGTTAAAGTAAGTCTTCTGGGAATATAAGTTCAGCTAATGCCACTACAAATGAGAGGAATAGCTTTTCAAAAAACTCTTTTAGTGGGCGCCTTGGGTGGCTCAGTTGGTTAAGTGTTTGCCTTCGGCTCAGGTCATGATCTCAGGGTCATGGGATCAAGCCCTGCTCAGTGGGGGGTCTGCGCCTCCGTCTCCTTCTGTGCATTTTCTCTCTAATAAATAAATAGCATCTTAAAAAAAAAAAAAAAACCTCTTTTAGGCGAAGAACCTCTTGGTCCAACTCTTTCATAGGCTACCAGCTGAGCAGCTGACAGACCCTGGGTGAGGGGCGGGGACTGAGAGTGCAGAGTGAGCACTGTGCAAGACGATGGACTGGACAACATCATGCAGAATCAGGAACTGAGAGCAGCAAATGGGAATGTGACAGGCTGAGATCTGTCACTTGCACCCTATGTGTAACAGTGTTACACATAATGTGTTACATAAACTGTTCCACCTTCCTTAACAAGCAGTGAGTAATTTCATCAAATATATACACACTAAAAACTCACTTCTCAGGGCGCCTGGGTGGCTCAGTGGGTTAAGCCTCTGCCTTCAGCTTGGGTCATGACCTCAGGGTCCTGGGATTGAGCCCCACATCGGGCTCTCTGCTCAGGAGGGAGCGTGCTTCCCCCACTCTCTCTGTCTGCCTCTCTGCCTACTTATGATCTTTCTCTTTTTGTCAAATAAATAAATAAAATCTTTAAAAACAAACAAACAAACTCACTTCTCTTGATTAGGAATACTTCATTCTGACCCATTTCATTTTGGTGAAGAAAAAATGGTTTGAGAGTCAGAGATTTATTTTAAGTCACCAACAGAAGCCTAAATACTATCAATCTCCTGAGGAAAAAAGAATTTTGTTCTACTGTTTTTCTCCCCATCAATTGTTCTGACTCCTACTGTTTCTAATTGTTACCTCTGCTTTGTCTCCAGCCCACATCTTTCTCTTCTACACTATACAACTTTTTGTACCCTTTGACCAACTAATATTTGGCATTTTGACCAAATACCATCATATTCAAGGATGTATCATACAATCCAGCCTACAACCAACTAAGCACTCTGCCCCCCCACCCTGCAATACTGCCAGTCCTTTCATACATTTTAAAGTTAAATGCCTGACAAATCCTGACCATTTCACTCTCTTGCTTTCTAGCAGAATCGTATGCAAATATTTAGATGCAGCAAGCTAACTTAAAAAATGCTAGGAAAGGAAACCCCAGGGCCATTACCCTTGATTCAATAAAGGGCTTTCTTAATCAGATAGTACCACTTAAACCTAAGAAAGGGTTCATTTAGTAAGAAATGCAGGATCCTAGTAGGATTTCCTACCTAAATTTTGGAACAAACTGAATGCCATCATTTCAAACTCAAACAAAGCAATATACAAGCAGGTGAAGTTAATCACTCTAAGATCTGTGAGGAAAAGACATTGTGAGGAAAAGCACTGTATCTCACTTATGTTCAAGGGGTTTGGATTTTTCCTACAACTAACGTGGAATATACTACAATGTAATCATCCTGAAATGAATAGTCCAATGATTTTAAACCAATTAATTACAGCTGCATCCAAGGTAGGTAAGAGAAGGTGATGGGTCACATGAAGCATATAAAAACAAGACCACTTTATTCAGATTATTCACGGAAGAGGACACTGATCAGCTAACATGAATATTGTGTCTATCTGCCATAAACTGAAAAGGATGCTTAATGGCAAACATTTCTAAAGGTTTTCCAGCTCAAGATTACCATTGCTGTCCTCCCTGCAAAAGTTATCCTACCTGCACTTCACTATACAAACAGGCTTGTCTTATAATCCCCTTAAAATGAATACTGACCATTGTAGGCTTAGAGTCAGGCCTGCAATTTGAACTCAAGTATGTTATTTAACCTCTCTGATTCTCCATTTCCTCTTCTGTGAGATGCATATCCACAGATTTTCCTTCTGTCAGTTTTAAAAAGGTCAAAATCATTATGCAATCAACACAGGAAACAGTTACTTACCTCTTTATCTAGTGTCCGAAACATCTGGTTGACCACACTTTCCAAAAAAAAAGTCATGGCTTCCCACTGCACGAATGAAGAGGAGAAAATGGAGCAGAGGCCACCTTCTCCAGTTCCAGCTGTTGGAGAAGAGGGTTTTAAAACACAAATATAAACACACACACACACACACACACACACACACAACTACAGGATCACAGAAGACACAAAGACAATGGGGACTTAGAGACCACTTAATTTCACAGGCGAAGGAACAGGATAATCTAACCCTCTCAGCCTGGGTAAAGAAAAGAACTAAAAGTAGAGAAGGGGCCTATCCTGCCTCCACCCCTAACAATGAGCTGTCCGAATTCACTTCTGTGAGTCCTGTCTATAAAACCACTTTGAATGTTGAATGAGAGTATATGCATAAGCATCAAAAAACACAAGCAAGTGGTAAATATCAATTAAACTCTCTCTTCCTGTCCTTTATAACCTGTCCATGAAAATCTAAATAAATTAAGATATTTAAGACCATAAAGAATCTTTCAAAAAAACAAACAAAAAAAAAAACAAAAAAAACAAAAACCTGATATAAGATAACAGAATGCTAATTCATCTCCAGTAGCCTCATAACAATTCCAAGTTCTGGACAACTGTGCCACCCTTCAAGTTTGTTAAGTCTCAGCAAAGCACATCTCTCAAACAGCAAAGCACAGGCAAAAAGATTTATGAATTACTTTCCTTGCTTTCATATAGTGCTCCCATTTACTAGCTTTACCTTGGCGCAACATATCTGGGCCTCCACAAACATTCAAATTACCTGATACCATGGACCTTCAGAGTCAGTTATGAGTACCCAAAACAAAATGTTAAATCCTATGAATGACAAGTAACTAGAGTAGCTGGTAACTGACCGTTAATACAGAGCCCCCTAAAGGAGTGACTTATACCTTCTCCTGTTTTACTAAATTGTCACCCACAGCATGCATTAGTCAGTAAGACAATAGACAAATGATAATGGAGTACAGAGAAGTTACCTGGCTTATGCATTTGGGTACAGAAGTGTTATGCTGATTTTGTATAATGCAGCATTTCCAAAGGCTTTGAGGTGGCTGAGTGACAGAGAAAGTCCCTGCACTGCTCCCGTTATGCCTGACTAACAAGGCATTCTTTCTAAATTTAGAAGTGGTTCTATGCAAGAATTTGGTAGAAGAGCTTTAAAAAGTCTAGACATGCAATTTGGTAGGATGGTGCCTACACTGAAGTAACAGAATCAACAACGAGTGGTTCATTCTGTTAGAAAAGAAAAATGAAGGCAAGACTGACAGGGACATGATCTTACCCTAAATGAAAGATTATTTTTGAATGCTATTATTAGCATGCTGTTCTGAAGTGTGGCTTACAGGGCTTATTTCCAATGTATATTTGATACAATACTTCACTAATGTTTAGAAATAAAAAAACCTTACAGTTCATGGATCCAGTATCAACAGAAGTTGTGAGCTGATACTTTAGCCACTCCCCAGCCATCTGGAAGCTAGTCTTAGGATCCAAACGACATGCTAACCTCATTACCTCTCCTTGTTGGGCCCGGGAGGCTGCCAAGAGAAAGACATAAATCAGTAACTGACAGATAATAAGTGCTTAGCTAATGTTCATTCATCTATCCATCCCAGGAGAAAAGCATTCAAAGAAACTTCTGCAGATTTATGCTCTGAATTTAACAAATGTTCAATCAAGATTAACAAACTCAGAAATTTTCAAAAGTAAATTGCCTCTGGAAGCCACCCTACCAGCTTGATCCTCTAAGAGGCAAACTAAAAGTGGTCTCCCATTTCTTTGGAATCAATAAAAGATTAGGTTGGTACAGATGTACAACAGTGTGGCTGCTATGGAAAACAGCCTGGCAGTTCCTCAAACATTAAATGTGAAATTACTATATGATGGAATATAGACACACACTCAAGAGAAAAAAAAACAACGTCTGTTCACTCAACTTGTATACAAATGATACAGCAGCATTATTCTTTTTTTTTTTTTTTTTTAAAGTAAGCTCTAGGCCCAATGAGGGGCTTGAACTCATGACTCCAAGATCAAGAGTTGTATGCACTACTGACTGAGCCAGTCAGGCACCCCAATAGTAGCATTATTCTTAACAGGTAAGAATTAGAAACAACTTAAATATCCATCAACTTATGAAATGAATGACTACAATGTATACCGATACAATGAAATATGGCAGTAAAAAGAAATAAAGTATCGATACATGCCACAGCATGGGTTAATTTTAAAGATATAACCCTAAATGAAAGAATGCAGTTACAAAAGACCATATATGTATAATCTGTTTGTAAGAAATGTTCAGAACAGGTGACATGTAGAAAAAGATACTGGATTACTGGTTGCCTGGAGCTGGGAAGGATGAGGGGACTGGGAATGGCTGACCGCTAGCAGGCAGGGATTCTTGCAGTCATTAAAATGTCCACAAATTGTGGCAAAAGTTGCACAACTCTGAATATACCCAAAAAACCCACTGCACTGTATGCTATAAATGGGTGAATCGTATGGTAAACAAACTGTATCTCAAAAAGCTATTATTTTAAAAAAGGGGGAGCGGGGAGGAACTAGCCAGACTACAAAAAACCAAGAACAGAATTAGATGATCAGAATGTGGGTTTTTTCCTCTTTTTTCGAAGACCAGTGAGGTTAGGTAGTATTTAATCCTAGGTGTTACATATAGTTACTATGCCTAAACATCCAAGTCCAAAGGCTATGTATGTGTGCATGCATGTGTATGCATGTAACGCACAGGCAAGAGAGAATACTACGCCTGGAATGAGTGCAATCCCAGTACCGGCTGCAAGGTGCAACTAGAGACTGAACAGGCTGCTTGTCCAGATCTTAGGCCCTTTAATATAGAACCCAAGGGTCAGGTACCATGATTCGTAACACTAGATGCCATTCTCAGATGACTGGGAGAAATTCCACGCTACTATCACTTACAGTTGAAGAAAGCATTGAAGTCCTCATCACTATCAAAATCAAACCGAGAGTATTCACAGCTAGGGCTGTCTGTTTTAGAAGGAAAGCCCATCTGCAAAGAGAAAGATAATTGGGGTAGGGGATAAAAATAGGCCTACCCAAAGAGGCTTAAACTCTAAGAGCTCAAGCACTTTTTCATTTAAGAAGAGTGAAAGGTTTGCATAAGATCTTTTACAATAACTACTTCTGGTCTATCCCAAGTCCACAGTTTTCTCCCAGTTCCAATAATCCTGAGTGGTTGAAAAGAGAACACTCATCTGATGCTCCCTCCAGATTCCTCAGGGAGAATTAAATTCTGGAATTTGTTTACGGTATCTGAGTATAAAGCTGTCCCAAAACAAAGTGCTAATACAGCACGCAGTAAGAAAGAAAAAATTGAGAACTGTCTCCTTCAATGCTGAAACTGGGAATAAGCACAGCACTTTGCATGTTTCACTCAAAAAGTACTGAAGAGCATGAGAATGAGAACAGGGTATCATGTGCTAGATGTATTCTTAGAGGAAATAAGAGGACCTTCACATAGGACCCACTCTCTGATTTTTACAAATCAAGATTAAGCATCTGTTAGCTGCAAGAGTCCTTAGCAGATCTCAGGGAATTCATAAGGAATTCTATTCAAGTGGCAAGCAATTTGCTTCTACCTTCCATCTTCCCTTCTCATTCACCTTCAGACCCTCACTAGACCTTCAGAAACAATCACATAGGATTTCATCTTGGAATCTTGGCTCCACCCTGCCTGCTTTTAAACTGGAAATAGCATTATCCCACTGCATGATCATGGGTCACTGCTCTTGTCCTTCTTCTTCCTAGCACCTAGCCCAATACTTTGTATAGAAGTGCTCCAAAATATGAAAAAGTAGATATAATAACCAGTTTGCACTGCCTTCTTCTTGGTGAATAAGAGAATAATATACCCAACTATAGGACCCTGGTGACCAAGATGGGCTGTCAATAATGCCAATCTGCCCTATTATGTATGTGTACTCACCTACATTCCTTCTTCTTTTTTTTTTTTTTTTTAAGATTTATTTGAGAAAGAATGAACAAGTGAGCAGGGAAAGGGGCAGAAGGAGAGCAGAATCCCAAGCAGAGTCCCTGCTGAGTGCAGAGCCCAATGCAGGGCTTAATTCCACAATCCTATGATCATGAACAAGATGCTTAACCAACTAAGCCACCCAGGAGCCCCCATTCCACGTTTTGATTCTCACTGTTTACCTTGACCAAGTTAGTCATAGAAGCACGAAGATATTTTGGTATTATTGCTAATAGCAAAGGGTCACGGGACAGGATCTCATGCCGGAAAAGGGCCCCCCAAGTCATCTGAGTTGAAGAACGCAGAAACTAATGGGGGTGGGGAAAAAGAAAAAAAAAGAAAGAAAAACCTCCGTTTAAGGATTTGGACTTTAGATAAGCAGGATTATTACTGAGCCCCACAATTATCAAAAATATTTTTTCATGGAAATAAATCTCTGTAATACTCCTACACTGCCCGTATTTACTCTATCCATAATGACTGCCTGTTACAGACCACATATTAGTAAGACAAACTGTGGGGTCAGGTGTAATTCCTGGAATCTCAGCTGAGCTCTACCACTTTTTCATTTTTTCTTTTTTATTCTACGCAAGCTCTACACCCCATGTGGGGCTCGAACAACCTGGAGATCAAGAGTAACATGCGGGCGCCTGGGTGGCTCAGTGGGTTAAAGCCTCTGCCTTCGGCTCAGGTCATGATCCCAGGGTCCTGGGATCGAGTCCGGCATCGGCTCTCTGCTCAGCAGGGAGTCTGCTTCTCTGTCTCTCTCTGCCTACTTGTGATCTCCATCTGTCAAATAAATAAATAAAATCTTTAAAAAAAAAAATTAAAAAATCACATGCTCCGCCAACTGAGCCAGCCAGGCATCCCTCTAGCACTTTCTTTACGGGCAAAAAAGGATATGGGAATCTCGGGGTGGTATTACAAGGAAAGCCCTAAATGTGTGAAATTAATTTTATAGCACAATCAATTAGACTTTTGCATTTAAAATGCCTGGGGTGGCAAATAACCTGGGACACACCTGACATCTGATTGAGCATCAGCAGAATATTACGTGAGGGGAAAACCTGCTGGCCTAGACAGTGCAACACTCGGTTCAGGAAGAAGATTCAACAATTCTCTTAATGAAATCACACCACAGTTATTTCATAGAGCCTTAAGAGTCACATTTTATACATGAGCCATTAATTACTTCAAGCCATAGTGATTAATTTTGGCTCACCTAACTAAAATTTTCACACACTGCCTACATACAGTTTACCTGACTTGGATGGGTTGTGAAAGCAAGAAAAGATTCCAGGTATTTTCCAAAGTTTGCTGGTGTTTCTACATCAGAATCCACACCCTGAGGGACAAAAAGACCACTACATCAGTGACGCTGATGGGGGGTGGAAGAGGACAATGGGAGGAGTAGGGTAACAAACACAGCTGACTCTTGAACACAGGGGCTAAGGGTCAAAAATCCACATACAACTTTTCATTCCCCCAAAACTTAACTACTAACAGCCTCCTATAGACCAGAGGCCTTACTGATAACATAAACTGATTAACACATATTTCGTATATATATTATATACTGTGTCCTTACAATAAAGGAAGCTAAAAAAAAAATGTTATTAAGAAAATTCTAAGAAAGAGAAAATACATTTATAGAACTGCATGTATTTATATCAAAAAATATCTGTGTCTAAGTGGACCCATGCAGTTCAAACCTGTGTTGTTCAAGGGTCAACTATAGAGAACTTAAACCCTCACCAATTTCAGTTTTGAAAGGACTTTATACTTCCTTGTGACCTAAGGAAGGCATCAATTCAAGGGCTAAAAAGAGGAAAGGTGCTTTACCTCCTTAATCATCATCATTAAAACTCATTCTGTAGTCAAATACTAAAATGAAAAAGAGCATTCATTTCAGAAATCACAGAAAGAGAAAATCTGTATTATTTCTTCACACCTAGTCTATTCACATCTCTGTGACCAAATTTATTAAATAACCACTTGACGGTATACATCGTATGTCTGAAGCTCTATCCTCTCTAACCATCCAAACCACCATAAAAAGGCATAATATCAAATGCAAATGTCTGTACCAATGTCCTATCTCTCAATTTGTAAAACAAGTTATTAAATATTTCCCTAAAGACAGGTAATTCTAGGTCAATCACATTCAAGTTTTCCTTTACGCTCAATAACACAAATCCTTTAAATTTGGGAAGAGGGCTCTTTATTCAAATGCGTAGTATTTCATGATCTAATAGGACTCTAGCAAGCTGACGTTCTACAGGTACCAAAATTCACAAGAATAGCAATGCTGACTTCATGGAATAACAGATGTGGATGCTTCCTGTTAACATCAATAACTCACTTGTTAAAAGAAATTCACTCACTAGAACCCTGTTACAGTAACTTAATCTATAAAATCACATGAAATAACCTGTAGGGCAATGCTCCACAACGCTAAAATTAATGGCATGTTTCACTCATTATACAAACGTAACTTTCTAAATGCTCTGCTCAGATGGCCCTGAAACTCTCCAGAAAGTAAGTGCTCACCAGTAATGCACACAGCTGATTCCCCAGAGCACACAACACCTGACACAGTCTCTTCAGGAAGACATAGTGTTTTTCTACCAAGCCTCCTCCATCAGCAGTCCTGTGAAATGAGAAAATAAATGCTATTAATTGCACATCAAGAGAACCAAAAAGATTCCCATCAAATGGAGCTGTATGTGGTCTGTTTCTGTTGATTATTAAAGTTAAAAAGCAAAAAAAAACCTCAAACCCTGAAGGATCAATGAGGAACAGGGTTCAATGCAATCTTATCCCTCAAAGAAGCACTGTAGTTCTGCACATTATATGGTCCTTGAGTACTGTGGGTTAATAACGTAAACTCTAAGTAGGACTACATACAACAACGCACACACTTACAGGCATTCACTGATACCCAGGGAAGACTTAAACAGAGATGCGTAGGAAAGCATGTAATAATTGCTTACCCCACTGACAAAACTGAAAGGGTTATAACAAGACAAAGAAAAGACAAGCCACAGACTGGGAGAAAATATCTGTAAAAGTCACATCTAAAAAAGAACTGCTGGGCGCCTGGGTGGCTCAGTGGGTTAAAGCCTCTGCCTTCGGCTCAGGTCATGATCCCAGGGTCCTGGGATCGAGTCCTGCATCTGCCTCTCTGCTCAGGGAGCCTGCTTCTCCGTCTCTCTCTGCCTGCCTCTCTGCCTACTTGTGATCTCTGTCAATTAAATAAATAAAGTCTTTTAAAAAAAAATAAAAAAGAACTGTTATCCAAAATATATAAGGAACTTTTAAAACTCAATAATAAGAAAACAACCTGATTAAAACACAAACCAAAGAGCTTAACAGACATCTCACCAAAGATATAGAGATGACAAATAAACATATGAAAAGATGCTCCACAACATATGTCATTAGGAAATTGCAAATTCAAATAAGATATCACTCACACCTACTAGAATGGCCAAAATCCAGACCACTGACAACACCAAATGCTGCGAAGGGTGTGGAACAACTGGAACTCTCATCCACTGCTGGTGAGAATGCAAAATGGTACAGCCACTTTGAAGACAATTTGAGTTTCTTACAAAACTAAGCACACTATTAACAAATAATCCAGCAACCATACTTCTTAGTATTTACCCAGAGGAGTTGAAAACACGTTCACACAAAGACCTTCATATTTATACCATGTTAAACCTAGATGTTTGTTGCTGCTTTATTCATAACTGGCAAAATTTTGAAGCAACCAAGATGCCTTCTGGTAGGTGAATGAATAAACTGGTATATTATCCATACAATGGGACTGTTATTCACTGTTAATAAGGAACGAGCTATCAAGGCCATGAAACACATGGAAAAACCCTAAATGTATACTACCAACTGAAAGAAGTCAATCTGAAAAATTTATACATTATGTGATTCCAACTGTAAGATGTTCCACAAAAGGCAAAAGTATGGATAACGTAAAAGATCAGATCAGTTGTTGCCAGAGGTTGGGATGGGGGAAAAGAGATGAACAGGCAGAGCTCAGAGGCTCTTTTCGGCAGTGAAAATACTCTGTAAAATACTGTAATGATACAAGTTATTAGATATTTGTCAAAACCCAGAAACTGTATCCATAGAATGTACAACACCAAGAGTGAACCCTGAAGTAAACTATGGACTTGGAATGATTATAACGTGTCAGTGTAAGTTCATCAATTTTAATAAATGTACCCCTCTGGTTGGGGATGTTGCTAATGGGGAAGGCTACACATGCTGGGGGGGTGAGGGCATGCAAAAACTCTGTACATTTTCTGAATTTTGTTGTAAACCTGAAATTGCTCTTAAAATGTAAGTCTTAAAAATAAAAAGCAATAAAAACATAACTCTATGTGTCACTTCTCCAAGTCATTTAGTTCAGATCTGTAATCCCTTAGCTACTATTTTAGAACCCAACAACTCTAAAAAAGGGGCACCTGGGAGGCTCAGTCAGTTAGTGTCCGCCTTCAGCTCAGGTCATGATCTCTAGGTCCTGGGATCATGTCCCACACTGGGCTCCCTGCACAGCAGGGAGTGAGCTTCTCTCCCTTTGCCCCTCCCCCAACACTGCGCAATCACTCTCTCTCTCTTTAAAATAAATAAAATATTAAAAAAAAATTATAACTTACTTGGTGGCAAAACCTGACTGAAATGATGCAGGACTCTTCACACAAGAAAGAATTAATAATAACTAGTGCAGACAGCAGCCACATTGGCTGTGTTCCCGAGGCAGCTGAGTATAACATAAAAAACATGGGCCTCAGGGTAAGTAAGACCTGGGCTCCAGTTATGTTGAGGGACACTATGACATTACGGTTTCTAACGCAGGCTCTCAAGTCTTATTGCCTGGGTTCGAATTATTGCTTTACTAACCAGTACAGTAAGTAACACAAACGGATACGGGACACCTAGGTGTGAATGTCACAGTTTCTATGAAACTAAGAAAATGGGCCTGAGGAACAGTTAACTAGAGTGGCCACCCAAAAGACATGTTATGAATTTAATTAAAAAGATCCCTTAAAAACAGAGCTAGTCTCCAGAGAAAAGAAGGCCATCATAAAAGCTGTGTTGGAATGGACAATAAGAGATTTTAAGTAATCCATGTGTATCTCTTTTCATTTGTCCCTAGGACTAAGAGAATGGTATCCAAAAAAAGATGCTTCAGTGGTCTTTGCAGTACAGTTCTACCTGTCTTCCTGGTAAGAAACATGTACCCAGGAGATGCTCAAATATCTTCCAAAGCAATTAAAAATGAAAAAAAGTGGAAGCCAGTATTTTAGGACACAGAATGTGTTTGCAGGCCCCATGCATTCACTTTTCATTGAACACACTGTTCCTGCTGCCGCCAAGAGCCTCAGCACTTCAGGCACTGATTACTTTGAGCAGGAGAGGAAGGAGCAGCGTCTGGAGTTCTGCAGTCAAGACAGGCTCTGGGGCAGACTCTGGTCCAGAAGATCAGAGCATTCTCAGGCCTAGGCACCAGCACTACTAGGAGGCTTGGGGATCACCAGAAGCAAACAGAATCAAGGAGATGAGCTGTCTGGGAAGAATGGGGAAAACTGTGAAAGTGACTGCGTATAGAGTCAACGGCCACAACTTCTTTCCAGCATAAGGTCTTTAAAATGGTTAAAAATTAAGATTGCTTGATTTTCAAATTAAAAACACTGTCAATTGACTGCCAGCATTCAGATAGGAACTTCAGATATATCGATATAAACTACAGAAATGACAAAGAAATTAGAAAACATAGAGAAAAGTAGATACTCACTGTGCAGCGGAGAGTATATAATGCATGGCAACATCCCCAAATAAGACCATCAAGGGTTTCCGGTCTTCTAACTTGCCCTAGAACCAATTTTAAGGAAACAGGAAATACAAACTGTTATTAAAAGCCTCCAAGTTACTAGCATTTCCTACACCTATATAATCAAATATATTGACTTCATAATTTCTCATAGTCCCAGGGCTAACTAAACACTGGAGAAAACGCCAATTCTATAAAATCAAAACGGGATTTCTATTTCTTCTGTTTTTAAATGTGTTGGGCAATAATGCTGATATGGTAACAAAGTAAATTATATCTAAAGATAATATTCCTACGGAGGAAAGAGTCACAGTCATTTGTTAGCCCAGGCCAATATAAAGCCAGTGAAGCCACAACTTAAGATTCTTTGACGTGACACTGTTTTATATTTTAGTATTACTTTCATCTTGTTTCCTCAGTGTGAAATGCCAAGACTCATAGCAGTTTCAAGAACAAGGTAGCCCAACAAATCTCCGTATATGCTGTCAGTGGATCCCTAGAATGCTGGAAAACTACTATCCGAAGAGGTCGGAAGCAGATAATGAAATTGGTGTCAGGTAGAAAGAAATCCCAAACTTTCGGATATCTTCCTGCCACAACATACACTTCAGACACACTTACACACCACCCCGCAGAGACTTTGAGGATGAAAGTCAGTTTGAAGTGGTAACTTACTTTTCTGCTGACTGCAATGAGAAGACACTCAGCTGCTCCTAACTGAAGCTCCTGTTCATTCAGAAGCAGGCAGAGCATCTCTAAGAGCTTACAGTTTTCGGCAGTAATATGACTCATGGACACCCAGTCAATGTAGCCTGCCAGAGTATTCAGCGCTGCGACTCCTACTCGACAGTTTGCTTGGGCCTGTGTGAAAAGAAACAACTTTTAATCGTTAAGTCTTCACTGATGGACAAAGAGGCTGTGGTTATACCTGAGCTCCTTCTATTCTCTAATTCTAAAAAGAAAACGATTGGAAAAAAAAGAAGGTACTCATTTAACAGCCAGACAGGGAACTCAAAGGTCTTCTTTTGATGCACAACCACTTCTCAAACAGCATTCTCAATGTCTGTCAATAAGATCATACTGGCATGGGTAACCATTTCATCTCCTCTGATAAATTGGAAATACTGTAATTCTAACTCCCTTCTACCATTGCTCAGTGGTCACCTAAACCAAGGCTGAGGTTACCCTCCACTAGGTATATGCATCTCTGTACCTGAAAGCCTCAAAGAAGTCTCCTTCCAACTCCACAAGAGCTCTTACCTTTGACTCCTGAGAATTATCTGTCTTCTGAAAGAAAAGAAGTATAAGGATCCAATGTTTTTAATGAGCAAAGGCTATGTAATAACTTTCCACCCACTTAATAAAGTCCCTTGAATAATGATTTTAAATAGACTCAACTTTTAACCTTGGAAAAGAATACTTTGGACTAACATTTAGCTGCTATTTCCCCTAAGGAGGACAGGTTATTTTAATTTTAGCAATAGGACAAAAAGTTAGTATCTAAAGAGCTTACACAAATTTGTTACAACATTAAGTCCACAAAGACAGCTTCAAAGAACACTGTTTAGAAAGAAATACAACAGATGAATAAGGCTCCACACTGCTAAGAATCAAAGAAATATAATTCAAAACAAAGTATGAGCATTTTTCATATTCAAATAAAGATAAGTTATGACTAGCAAAAGAATATTAAAATGATGTAATATAAATGGTAAAGGCGAGACAAAATTAAATGAATATAATTTATGGCCATGTTTGTATGGACAAAACTACAGGAAAATCACACGTACAAGTATCACATGCTAAATAGATAAAAATAATGTCCATTCAGTAAATGTACAATTATTACAATTATAACTGATATCAATCTATATGATGCTTATAATGTATATGTACAAAATTAATATTTTCCCAAAAAAACTTCTAAAAATAAAATTAAAATTAACTCCTGAAGACAGGTAAAGGGGAACAGAAGCAGGAACAACAACTTTGGAAGTCCCTGAAAAGTCACTCCATTAGGAGTATAAAGGATTTGTTCTACAATTACAAAAGAATACATCTGGGGTGTCTGGGTGGCTCAGATGGTTAAGCGTCTGCCTTTGGCTCAGGTCATGATCCCAGGGTCCTGGGATCGAGTCCCACATTGGGCTTCCTGCTCTGCGGGGAGCCTGCTTCTCCCTCTACCACTCCCCCTGATTGTGCTCTTTCGCTCTCTCAAATAAATATGTAAAATCTTTAAAACAAACAAACAAAAACAAAAACAAAAGAATATATTTGTTAAAGAACAAGTATTAAGCCTTCATCATCAGTGATGGAATAGAGGTGTCAATGGGCAGAGAGGAAGAGAACCCTCTCACACCAGCATTTACTACTGATGCTGCCCAAGAAGGAAAATGAATCCAAGTGACAACAGCCAAGTCCAGTCTTTCCTCTCCAACAATTTTTCAGTCCCTGTTCAAGCATCTATGCCCCCCTGGACCAGTGCAGGGCCCAGGTCACTGGACAGGAAGAATGTGCCTACCCATTCTATGACTGTTTACCATTCAACCTACTCCCCACCTGGGAGGGTGAAGGGAAGGAAGCAGGAAGTTGAGATGGAGAAAGAGAAGGGATGGAAGAAGGGATGCAACTTCTCAAGCAAAAAAGTTGTTCCCGGTCCACAAGATAGCTCTTGGTGTGCTCTGGTCTTGGACACAAGAAGTACTGGTTTAACAGATGAAGGGAACTGAAACAGACTAAAGAAAAACCCCACATTGTCTCAGGCCATTATCACTCACTGCCCTGCTGGGGCACGTTGGCTAGACTGTCAGGGCATCTGAGGAGTCATAGTTTGTTCCCCTTCTCCTACAGATGAAATCTCCTAGATGAGAAGGAAAAGAATCCCTCCTTCACCCTCAATACACGTTAAGTTTTTGAGTGCAAGTATTTTCCTGATATTTTCTTTTGAAAGATTTTGGGGAGGTATTTTGGGGTAAAATAGACCATTTTAGTATAAAGAATGAGACTTGAATCCCACTATAACCATTTATCAGGGGATCTTCAATAATTATTCTCTGGACCTTGGTTTCTTCATCCATACAATGGAGACTGTACTTTCTCTTTGGGGTTGAAGATTAAGTAACATGTAAAGTGCAAGTATATGGAATATATTAGGCACTTACTGTGAGTTCCTCCCGACCCCAACAGCTCACAGTACCTTCCCATCATTTGTGTTAGTACCTAGCACTTCTCTAAAAACTGCCAGGGGCGTAAGAAAAAACTAATTTTAATTAATTCTATTCTGTGAAATAAGCACATGTAAGAATTCTAGATCAAGGTTTTTCTTTTCCTATTTTTTAGGTTAGGGTAAGAGGGGCAGAGGGAGAGAGACAGACTCTTAAGCAGGCTCCAAGCTCGGTGCAGACCCCAACGTGGGGCTCAGTCATGACCCTGAGATCATGACCTGGGCTGAAATCAAGAGCTGGATGGCTTAACCGACTGAGCCACCTAGGCATCCTTAGATCAGGGTTTTTCAACTTTAATACTATCGGCATTTTGGGTTGGATAATTCTTTATTGTGGAGGAACAATTCTGTGTGTTACACAATGTTTAGCAGTATGCCTGGCCTCTACCCACTAGATGCCAGCAGCAACCCCTGGTTGTGATACATGTGGGACAAAACTGTCCCTTGCTGAGAATCACTGTACTAGATGAACTTTCACATGACTTTCTTCTGAAGGCTCTCTTAAAAATGACAGTGGTTGGAAACACAGTATCTAGCTGCCCTTTTCTGTAGAATACTTTGTCGGGAAGAATAAAATACAGGTATTTCCCACTTTTTGTAAGCTCGTGTTAGGAAACTGATTCTCTCAAGACCCACATTAGCACCTGTTTTCTCTAACTGAAAATCTGAAGAGGATTTTCTGGTTTTACTTTAAAGAAAGGCGAGAAGCGAAAATAGCTTTCAGTGCTTGTTTCACAGCAAGACCTTAGGCCTTATGGAGGCACCACTAAGTTCCTTTCCCACGAACCACACTCAGCATCTCAGCACCAAGCAGCAATAGCTGTGAACTGTGTCTGTGAGCATCTGTGCTTTCTCTTAATTTATTTTATCTGTTAGCAAGATGTGTCCTAAGGTGTCAGAAAAGCTAAGGAGAGGTTATTTCTTGGGTGTGGGAATGCTCAGAAATTACTCCATATAAATTAACGTTAGTTTCTTCTTCGTTCTATGCCATTTGGGCTTACAAAAGATTTCAAAGGAACACTCTTCTTTCAGGTAGCAGGGGAAACCTGTACCAAGAACCATATAATCAAGATGAATAAAACCTGGCAATTTCTTGCAAAAGGGACCAGATTAAATATGGGATCAAAATTTAAAAGGGATGCTGTCCTGACCTACCAGGAATATGGGCTTTAAATACTTTAAATGTTAAGAATTAACCATTTTAATACTGTTTTAAAGAACTTTCTTACTATAAAGGATTGTTTTCTTAACATGGGAACTCACTGACCTGAGTTTCTTAGAAAATTGGTTCCAGTTCTTCCTGTCATCGGTTTCTCTTTTGCTTATAAAATGGTTTTTTGCTGATCTAGAGACCCCTAATTCCTTGCTGAGAGATTATTTTATCTTTACAAAACAAACAACAAAACCACTCATAATAGAAAACACAACTTTTGGGAGATGGGTTAGCTCTTACCACTTGTCGGTACTTGTTTACATTTTCTTGAAGCGTGTTAAGTAGAAAACTGAAGATCTTTTCCATGTTCTGGGTTAATGTTTGCTGGATATCCCTTCTTCTCTGAGGGGGTAGTGTCTGAAAGGTCACTACATCCTCTGCCAGTCGTAGAAGGATAAACATCACTAATTCGGTCTGTGTTTCCTGTACAACAGAAATAAACTAATTAAACTGAAACCTCTTTTTCACCATAGGTATGCCCAAAAGCTCTTTTCTGTTGACAAAACAAACTCTAGAACAGGCCTCCAAAATAAAATGAACTGATATAGTTATATTCCATACCCCCTGTTTGGAAAGGGTATCCAATTCTATTAGCATATCAGGCCAGTGCTGTGGCCACTCCCGCTTGATCATTTCTACTACAATTCGAGACAAAACATCTTTAATATGGTTCTCCTCTTCCAAAATATCCAGTGTTCCCTGAAAAAGAATAAGATAGTAAGAGGTTTGTAAGACTGAATTTAAAAAACCTAAAAAAAACCCCAAAACCCCACACTGAGAAAGTGTATGGAACTCCATAGCAGGCTTGCTTTTAAACTAAACAGAGTAAATAAACCTGCTCTCCACGACTGAGTCACTTGTCCTGCATTCTCACTAACCATTTTCCTCACTTAAAACTTAAGTAAGGGCTGAATCAGCTAATAAAGTGACTGTTGCACAGAACAAGGAAGACATCATTGTTTTCCTTTACAAACTGAAGAGACTCTCATACTGACTGTTTCATTCTGTAAGAACGCCAAAGTTGAAGAGTATAGAAATGAAAATAATAAGAAGCTGATAAAATGAGACAGGAGTAGCAACTAAGTATTTTACCGATAGTTCTAGCATTATAAGACACAAATTATTCCTGGGACTTTGTCCTTCTGGAGTTTGGTATCGAAATTAGTGAATTAGGATTTCTATCAAGTTTCTCAAGAACTAGCAAAAAACAAATCCTAAGTTGATTAGTAATTCTGAAGGGGATTTTTTTCTATTGAAGGCACTCAACTTTGGAGAGGAAAAGGTAGGAATTCAACTTTTCATGCCATTTGTAAAAAAGAAGAAAAAAGGCTGTGGATTTTAAGCATGTTCAAAGTGCTATTCTAATTCCTGATACTAATTCATTCTGCATATTTTGTTAAAATCATATGGTAATTTGGTTTGGAATAAAAGGAAACAAACAGTAAAGTACAATCTAATTTAGATCTAAGAATCTTGTTCATTTGCTGAAAATCTCTCATCTCTGCTGAGTATGCTGTCCAACCTACGTAGAACTAGTGAACATAAATGCTAAAGAAGTCACCCTTAGTCTAAACTACCTCTGAAACACAAGTCTTCCAACCAATCATTCCTTACATTTGCAATCAGCTCCATGACACTGTTCTTCAGATAGACCTTCTCCAATCGAGACATGCTGTTCCACCGAAACCTGGCCACCAAAATGTGTAAGGTCAAAAGAACCACATTAGAAGTCTTCGTAAGTGACTGGCTTTGATTCTGTGTTGTATTATGCTAGCGATTTCACCAAGAAATTATACTTTTGATTTTGTACCCTTCAAAGAATGAACAAGAACACTCTATATTCAAAAAAAATGCTGACGACAGAAAAATTCTTAGGAAAAAGTTCTATATATAGGAAGTCGTCCACTAATTGAAATTCACATAGGATTTGTGAGCAGATTAGCTTTCCCCCTTGATTTCACTGATAGCCCAAAAGCAAATATATACCTGGGAGACCTACAACAAATGTAGTTGCTTTTCAGAAAATAATAATGGTGATACTATTAACTCCTCTTTTGTGCTGGCTTATGGATAACACAATCCCACAAAAACTATGGCTAAGTCTTAAAAGCTCATTCCTCTGATAGACACTGGGGGTAGAAGACTCAAGTTAGGAAGGGTTTTCAGTTTCTCATATAATCCTGTTTCGGATTTGCCATTCAGACAAGGAACACACTCAAGCTAAAAAAAATTAAAAACACAATCCCTAATCATAGATTTAATTACCTAAACACTGTATTATTCTAAAAAGACTTTGAGATCTCATGGCATATAGTAGGAGCTCAATAAATACTCACTGAACTACTATCAGCTAATATTTGTAGAATGCTTAGTATATACCATGTATTTTACATAGCTGAAGAAACTGAAGAGGAAGGTTAAGTCTTGAATTAAGAGAGCTCTTGAGGCTGTGATAATCTCTTGGGGATCATTCCTTTCTTCTTGGCAACTGTTCTTTTCTACTCACCTAAAGATTATCTCTATAAGTTATATAACAAATAAAGATTTGCTCTCTCACAGACTTCGGTGGTACTGTCCAAAAGCTCCTTACTTGACAACGTGTTCCAGGATTTGGAGGCCAAAATGTCTGACGATGGGTATCTGGGTTTTCTCAGCCAACCTCAAGCCACAGGGGACACAGATAGGGCACTTTTCTTTAAACTCCTCACAAAACTGAAACAAAAAAAAGTTAGTATTTCCCTTAGGAAGCAAGAGAGAGTGGGGATTAAAAAAAAATTTTTTAGGGGCACCTGGGTGGCTCAGTGGGTTAAGGCCTCTGCCTTGGGCTCAGGTCATGATCCCAGGGTTCTGGGATCAAGCCCCGCTCCTGACTCTCTGCTCAGCAGGGAGCCTGCTTCCTCGTCTCTCGCTTTCTCTGCCTGCCTCTCCCCTGACTTGAGAGCTCTATCAAATAAATAACATCTTTAAAAAAAAAATTTTTTTTAACTTCATCTTAAGAAACTCCAACCTGTGATATATTTTTTTTTTTTAAACATTTTATTTATTTGACAGAATACAAGTAGGCAGAGAGGCAGGCAGAGAGAGAGAGGAAGGGAAGCAGGCTCCCTAATGAGCAGAGAGCCTGATGTGGGGCTCGATCCCAGGACCCTGGGATCATGACCTGAGATGAAGGCAGAGGCTTTAACCCACTGAGCCACCCAGGCGCCCCCTGTGATATATTTTTAAACTGCAAAATTTAGATCAATAGTATATGAGTAAAGAACTGATAAACATTCCTTTCACTTGGATAGTTATATTTTCTATGCTATGGCCAAATAATGTTGAAAAAAAAAAGTCTGACATAAACAAGTAAAAAATTATTTGCTAGAGATATACCCCTGAAGTATACAGGGATGAAATGACAATTTCTAGGATTTACTTTAAAAAAAAGGTAGGGGGAAGGAATAAAGCAAATATGGCAAAATCTTTATAACTCCTGTAGTAGTATTCTCTTTACTTTATGTATATTTTTAGTATTTCACAGTAAAAAAAACTAATGGAACCCAACTGTTTCTCATTCCAAATCCTGTGGCAGACATCTATGTTTTTAAAAGTAAAGTTTTTCCCAAATGATGTTCACTCTATAAAAAGTTACATGATTTAAAACATACACAGCACTTAACTGGAATTAATAAAAACTTTAAAAAAAATGTATGCATATGTGTTTTTCCTAATGACCATCTCTCACCCCACTCAAATAGTTTGATGTGGGAATAAGTTCACATTTTATTAACATCCCAATTTGTATTAGCATTCCCAAACTGTAACACAAAAGTCAGTCCCAGTTGCTGAGCATCCGGATTCAAGAAAACTACTTTCAGGAAACCAAAGTACCCTTGTTAAAATGCAAAGTAAGTGGTAGAAGTTCATCTTTGCGCAAAATAGCCTGAGAACAGAACACAGTAAAAGAACATGGGGGGAGGGTGTGCGAGAATTAGCCCAGAGATAACCCAAGACACAGAATAGGATTAGTGAAGAGTCTAAGAATGTAAATAAAGTGGCGCTGGGGGCTGGAGCTCGAGTAGGACGGGTCAGGAGGGTGCAAGGAAACGTAATGCACGGGAGACCGTCAAGAACGTAGCTAACTGGTGTTGGGGACGCGATAGGCACGTGCACCACGGGAATGCTAGGGGATGTGGGGCTTGGGTAATAAAATAGAAGCATCCGGCTGTGGTGCGGACTGAAGAAAAGTGGAGAAAGGAGAGGAGAGGGCAGCGGGAAGTGGCAGTGAGATGAGAAGCAGCAAGGAATCGGAGGGTCCCGAGAGAAGGGTAGGCGCGGCTAGAAGAGAAAGCCCGGAGTGAGAAGAGCCGCGGAGGGCGGGGAGGGGAAAGGCTAAGGCTCCCCGGGGTTGGGAAAGAAGGTCCAAGGGCCGCGTGGGCGGGAAACCAGCACGGCTTCGGGCTGCGGGGGCACCGCTGGGGTTGGGGGAGGGTCTTGGGGCAGGCCCGGGGCGCCAGACTCCGTCTACCTTGAGGGCTTCCAGCCGGTAGCGCTGGGTGGAGCTGGGGTCCATCATGACCGTCACCGCTTTCACCAGCTGCTCACACAACGCGTTCACTTGATCCATCGCCATGGCTAGTGCCACGCGCCGCAAGCGCGGTCCACGGCCGGCCCGGGAGCACAAGGTACCGACAGCTCCCTTCGTGGGACCACAAGCTGGTACCGTGCCGCGGCGGGCTGGGGGGTGGGGAGCGAGAGGAGGAGCGTGAGCTGCAGAAGCTCCAGCTTGGAAGGAACCGGGGTTGCGCACGCGCCCAACTCGCCACTGCGCACGCGCCCGCGGAAGTGGCGGCTCTGGTGTGACGGTTGCCTCTCGGTGGGCGGAGCGAAGGACGGAAGGGCAGCAGTGCGCAGGCGCCTCAACGGCCTTTTTGCTGCGCGCGCGCGCTGTCTGATCTCTGTTCGGAGCGCTGGCTGTTGAGCGCGCAAACCCTGCGTAGGCCCGCTGGGCAGTACGGGCGGTGCCCGCGTCAGTGGTCGACTGTGACCTGTGCTTCATTTCTCCGTCGTCACGGGAAATAAATCTCTCGAAGCCGACTGGTCCTCTCCTGGAAAGGGGGCAGATATTCAGGACCCCTTCACCTTCCTTCCAGTGGACAGCGAGCCTGGCATCGTTGGCGTCCGTGGTTGCCAGTTCTTCCAGGAGCTTTGCCACACTGGTAAGAGAATTTAGAACCGTTCAGTATCGCTGTTTTCAGACTTTTCATGTTGTCTTGGCTGCTGGTTTTATGCTATAGCAGTGGCTGGTGGTGTCGTTGGGCCGAAATTCGGTGAAACAGAAGAGCATGCTCAGACATAAGGCCTCGGTATTGTCCCCTAAGAGGAATTTTCTTGTGGAAAAACGGCATTTTCGCTAGCTCATAAACCCCCCTCTTCAGTTATGCTTATTTTCCTTAGATGTGTTGTCGCCTGAACGACACCAAACTTACTTGGCACAGATGGTGATGAGTCGAGATATTTGAAGATGAATAATTGCAATTATTGAAGGCTTATGCAGTTTGGATCATTTGAAGTGCTACATATAAGACTTCAGAACTGTCATCCTTATTCGGGAAGGGGGGTTTTTGGCAGCGAGTGTGTTTCATTTTTCCATCTTTAAAAAGCTCTTGCTTTCTTCAGCACAGTACATAACTTGCACACTTGAGCAGCTTCATTATCTGTTGAAGTTTGCATATTGGTTTTTGTGTTTGTTTACTCAGTAAAGTGTTTGCTGGACTTAAATCACGGCTTCCTATTCTAACTCCATTTCTCCTATTTGCATCTAGCATGGTACTTCCCTGGTGGGTTTGTGTGTGTGTGTGTGTGTGTGTGTGTGTGTGTATATGACAGTGTGTTTATTGTTTTTATTCTGGCATTATCTGTTGCAGTGCTACACAAAAACCACTTCCTTTCATGGAAGGTGATTTCTGTCATGTTACGGTTTTAACTTAAATATTTAAAGTTACACATTCTTCCAGTTTTCAGTGAGTGGAATTTACAAGGAATTAATGCCTTGATTACTCAGGTTTTTTAATTCATTGTTTTTTTACACTAATCTTCTGTCATTGTTAGTTGCATGACATTTTTTTCAAGGTGAATGTTAATTGTTGACGCTTTTTTTTTTTTAACCCAGTCCAGTGCTTACTCAACTGTATAACCTATGTTTCTCATATTTAAATCATGAATTACTGGTGTTTTCATAAGTATCTTATTTACTTTAAGTCAGTTGTTAGCAATCTCTGCTACACATTAGAACTGCCTGGAGAGTTTGCAATGTCCAGGTCACACCCTGTTTTGTTCTGTCTTGGTCTGTTAATAATAATGCCTTAAAATAATAAATAACATTTAAGTCACATTGATACTTGGCTTCTGACATCAGACATCCTAATTTAATTGGTATGGGTGTGTTTTGTGCTATCACAGCCTAGCAATGATAATGCTGTGGTTAGAAATGTTTGGGGGCGGTTGCTCCTGGTTGGCCTTCAGTGGGTTAAGCCTCTGCCTTTGGCTCAGGTCATAATCTCAGGGTCCTGGGATCTAGCCCCACATCGGGCTCTCTGCTCAATGGAGAGCCTTCTCTCTCTCTCTCTCTCTCTCTCTCTTTGCCTACCTCTCTGCCTACTTGTGATCTCTGTCAAATAAATAAGTAAAATCTTAAAAAAAGAAGAGAAAAGAAATGTTTGGGGGCACTCACCTAGGCTCCAGTGAGTTCCCACAGACATCTCCTCTTTCCAAACCAGTGTTTTTATGGTTCTTAGCATGATTGCAGGATACCCTTTAGCAGGTGACCCTCAGGAAGCTTTGAAAGAGAAAAAGTTTATTCCTTACAAGCCCTAGAGCTAACAAGACACACCCGTTGGGCACAGCACAAGGTTACCAGTACAGAGCGAGCAAGCTAGCATAGGCCCAGGGTTCTACTTTTACTGGGATTGAGGGTGGCAATCAAGAATTTCATGGGTTGGGGGCGCCTGGGTGGCTCAGTGGGTTAAGCTGCTGCCTTCAGCTCAGGTCATGATCTCAGGGTCCTGGGATCAAGTCCCACATCCGGCTCTCTGCTCAGCAGGGAGCCTGCTTCCCTCTCTCTCTGTCTGCTTCTCTGTCTACTTGTGATCTCTCTCTGTCAAATAAATAAATAAAATCTTTAAAAAAAAAAAAAAAAAAAAAAGAATTTCATGGGTGAACTTAAAAAATAAGAGCAGGAGGGGTGCCTGGGTGTCTGCCTTTGACTCAGATCATGATCTCTGGATCCTGGGATTGAGCCCCACAGGGGGCTCCCTGATCAGTGGGGAGTCTGCTTCTCCCTCCCCAAACCGCCCCCCTCCGCATTTGTCCTCTCTCTCAATCAAATAAAATCTTTAAAAAAAAAAAAAAAAAGCAGGAATTTAAAATACAGGAAGACAGAAAAAAGGAAAACAAAAAAGTAAGCACCCAAAAATGTCCAATTATTGAAATCAACCAAGAATTCTAAAACAAAGGAGTGATCAGTTGGGCCGGCACATTAGTCATTTGTCTGGCTGTGTGTTTATTCAAGGTAGTCATCTTGAGGGTGCCTGGGTGGCTCAGTGGGTTGGGCCTCTGCCTTGGGTTGTGGTCTCAGAGTCCTGGGATTGAACCCTGCATCGGACACTCTGCTCCTTGGAGGGCCTGCTTCCCCCTCTCTCTCTGCCTGCTTGTGATCTCTCTCTGTCTGTCGAATAAATAGATAAAATCTTTGAAAAAAAAAAAAGATAGTCATCTTTGAAGTGGATGCCTCTGCAATCCAAGCTTAAATCAGGCGTCTCCCTTATGAAAAAGGGGTGGGGGAGAACAACTGTCAGGGTTTACACAACAATCTACCCTGTGATGCCAGAGTCCATGATGAGGACATTAACTGCCTGGATAAAGCTGGTATGTTAAAAGTCAGGGTTAAATAATTATACAGGCCATAGTTTGAAATGCAGTCTCTAGCCATTGTCCCCAACTTGAAAGGGTCCAGCCATGAAAATAGGCCGATGATCCCGACTATTTGGCTAGCCCTGGAAATCTGCTCAAGGATTTGGGTGATACTGTGAAATATTTTAACATCTTCAGCCATATGATATAAGTAGGTTTGAGCCTGTCCTGATTGCTAGATTGTTTCATATTCAAAGGAACCAGTTTCTTAGTCCTGAGAATAATTAAGGGGTTGGGTCTCATTTCAGAAGGTGGTCATGCAGTTGGGTTCCCCAAGGTAAGCCTGTTTAAAAAAAAAAAAAAAAAAGTAAATTTCAAGATCTTACTGGCTTTATTCAAAGGTTATGAATTGGGCAGCATCCCATCTAACAAAAGAAACTCCTAGGAGTTGTACAAAATGAAAGACTTCTATAGGGACAGAAGGGGTCATGACAAGAAAGTTACTGTCAGAGTGGATTGTTTCAAGCAAGGCCACCTTCTTTGGGGGGAAGGCAGGGCAGTAGTGCTGACCAGGAAATTCCAGACTGACAGGTTAAGATTACATGCTGGGAGAGGCTAAAACTGAAATTAGGTACACTCTTGGTTTGGTGACATGCGCTTGGTATAAGTGACTCCAGTTTGGGCCTGCTCTCTCTCTCTTTTAACGGGCCTGCATGGTAGAAGTATGTGCTTCAGGCATTTAATAAGAGGTATTTCTATGGAAACAAAAGGAATAAAAACAAAGGTTAATATTTGGAGGAGACTATAATTGCAGTTTCTGAGTTCTGAAGGCAGCCAGTTGGGGAGATTTCTAGATGGCAGGCTCAAAGCTCTTCAGATGGAGTGAAGGCAGACAGTGGCAATCTTAGATTTTCCTGGTTTGCAGTTTGAATTGCTCTGGTGATCTTTTCTGAGTGGCCCACACAGTAACAGGAACAAAAATTGTCTATATGTGAACTATTGTGGTGATGTCTCTTAAGTTTATATCAAGTCCCACTTCAGCTTGCATGACTTTGGGAAAGGGCAATTTTAGTTCTCCATGTTTCCAAGTCAGAAGGGTAGGATAACACTTGGAAATGTTAGTTTGGAGAGTTGTAGCCAAATATTGGAGGAAACTAGAAGAATTGAGGATCCAGTCCAGTTTAGAGATAGAAAACAAAACCTCAGAGACAAATAACAGCAATAGAATCTGATTTCCACAAAGCTGTGTTACTGAAACATTCTTTGTCTCACAGTCACCCCCCATTTCTATCAGAGATAGTTGAAGTAAGCCTAATTTGTTTGTAAAATCAGTCTAATCTCATTAAACTTGGCTGATTGTTTATATGATTGCAGCAAGAATTTACATAATTGCAGCAAGAATTGACCATAGAGACTTTTAAGTCTGCTTTGCTGGAACTTTTCATAAGGAATCTCAGATTGAGCTTTTAAAAGCCTCTCAAGGCTAGGAAGCCAATCCAGAAACCTGCCAGTAGGCCTTGCCTGTAATACTTATAAATTTGAGTGAATTCCTCTCTTCTTGAAGTTCCTAAAATACCCTGAGGTTCCTGGGCTTGCCAGGAAGTGACCTTCCTTAGGAGGGCTATTGGGAACTCTGTAAGTAAGGTCCCAGGCTGATTTTTCAAGGAGCTTTATGGGCTCCATGAAGTCAACCTTAGTTCCTTAACTACTATATCTATGTATGTCTTTCTCAAATATGACATCCAGTGAAAGTCTGGGTTGTATAATCAATGTATCCATTTTGGTCCTGTTATAAGAAGAACAGATCCTTATTGAATTTATGCAGATAATTATATTGTCACAAAAGTAAGAATATTAACTGACAGTTTTCTACTTCTGGAGGGATCAGATAGGGAGAAAAAGTAATGGTTTCATCTGTGTTCTCAAAAGTATACTTTACCAAATTGTTGTAAGTCAAAGATAGCTTAAGAAAAGAGGTTTCTTAAAACTGGGAAAAATAGAACATTGAAGAACCAATGATGTTTCATATAAAAAAAAAGTCATAAAAAATTATAATCATCCTCATCAGTTCATTCAGTCCCATGGCATTCTTGTTGATTTTTTGGGGAACAGTTTTGTAAAACCATCAGTTTCTTTGTAAGTGTTCCATCAGTTCTTACCCAGTTCAGTTGTATGATATAAAAGTTATCAGAAATCTTTATTATTTTAGAGTACTTGTCAATGTCCTTCTGAAAGATGAAACACATTTGCAAACAACTGTAAATGACAAAAGACTTAAAAATGTCCATAGTTTAAGATACCCTGAGAGCTCATTATAATGCAGTTGACAAGGAAATTTGGTATTTCTGTGACACAACATCCCTTTTTAGAGAGGGGGAGGAGCAGAGGGAGAGAGAGAATCCCAAGCAGACTCCATGCTCAGAGGGGACTCCAACATGGGATCAATCTCACAGCCCTGAGATCATGACCTGAGCTGAAACCAAGAGTCAGACGCTTAACCACCTAAGCTGTGGCACCCCAAGTGACACATAACATTTTAAAATAATAATTAGAATTAAGGTTAATAATGTGTTAGGGGTGGCTGGGTGGCTCAGTAGGTTAAAGCCTCTGCCTTCAGCTCAGGTCATGATCCCATGGTGCTGGGATGGAGCCCCGCATCGGGTTCTCTGCTCAGCAGGGAGCCTGCTTCCCCCCTCTCTCTCTCCTTGCCTCTCTGCCTACTTGTGATCTCTGTCAAATAAATCAATAAAATCTTTTAAAAAAAGATTAATAATATATCATAATTTTAGTAATTTCATGTTTCTTAAATGCTTATATATCCATACAAGGATATGCATAAAGAAGGTTTAGCGTTATTTCATATTTAACATATCACATGCAGGTTAACCCCACTATCTGAAAGTAAAGCATTCCTTTCTTTAAGATTTTATTTATTTATTTATTTTAGAGAGAGACAGAGATAGCAAAAGAGAGCACAAGCGGGGAGAAGGAGAAGCTGAGCAGGGAGCCCCATTTGGGGTTCTATCCTAGGACCCTGGGGTCATGACCTGAGGCAGATGCTTAACCAACTGAGGCGCCCAGGCCCCCCATGAAAGTAGAGTGTTCCTATGAAACCTTTCATAAACCAAAATGGTGTAAAGCAAAAAAGCAATTACCATTTGTTTATATGGAAAAGTTCTTAAGCATTCTCAGACTTAAAAAATAACCTCTCAAACTTTTCTGATACCTTAGACTCAGTCCTGTAAGTAATAAATTACCTTTATTTTTTTAGTTTCCTGATGGTTATTGCTGAAGGGAATCTTGCAATCATAATAAGAACAGTAAGGGTCATTCTGTTGTATCTTTTCCTTTGGAAAGGAGAGATGTCTGTGGGAAGCTCACTGGAGCCCCGGTAAGTGCCCCCAGCCATTTCTAGCTCATAGCATTACTATCAATAGGTTGAGATGGCACAAACACACCCATACTAATTAAATTAGGATGTCTGGCGGTAGATGCCAGATATCAATATTATTTAAATGTTCTTAAGTTGGGGGGGCACCTGGCTGGCTCAATTCATAGAGCATGTAACTTGATTTTGGGGTTATAACTTCAAGCCCCACGTTGAGCATAGCACTTACTTTTAAAAAAATGATTCTAATCTGCAGCGAAGTTGGGAGCCACTGCTTTAGTTTACATTCCTTCTTCCAGATTCCTGACAATGTTAAATGAGAACATTATTCTGTATCCACTACCACGTATATATAGTTTGATCTTCTGTTCTATGATCCATACCTTTATGTATGTTTATATGTGAATAGTATGTAGTATTTTCTTTTGCCTTCAAAAGTTTATATAAATGGATAGAAAATCACTGTTAGAACACTGTGAAGTATTACAGGCAAGACCCACTGATAGGTGCTTAATGTTGAAAGTTTGAGGAAAACCAGGATCTTTGTATAATCTCAAAGTATCTGCCCTAAGATAACAATTACAAAACTAAAAATAGTAACTTTACCGTGGGAAACCTGGCAAACTACCACAACTAAATGATCATGGTTAACACCACAAGAGTAATAACACCTTTTGATATCATGTATCTCAATATGATACATTGAGACGAGTACATCACTTCCATAATATTCTTGCCAAAATATGTAGCCTTAATCTAATCAAGAGAAAACATCGGACAAGCCTAAATCAAGAGACATTCTCAAAGTCAAGGACTAGTTCTCTTCAAAAGTGCCAACGTCATGAAAAATAAGGGAAGACTGAGGAACTGTCACAAATTGTAGAAGACTAAGGAGACATGATGACTAAGCTTTACTACCTTCCTAAAACTCTACCAATTTATACATTATACTCCTACCAGCAGTATATGAAAATGCCTGTTTCATTCTTATTAATATCCATGCTCATGATAACTCAACAGTGGAAGAACAGAAATAATTGTTTTCCTTGGCACTTCGGATTAGGTGTCTTTCTGACTATAAAATATTGTCTTTCAGAAAAATGGCTACTGGACAGGACCGAGTAGTTGTCCTAGTGGACATGGACTGTTTTTTTGTTCAAGTGGAACAGCGGCAGAACCCTCATTTGAGGAATAAACCTTGTGCGGTTGTACAGTACAAGTCATGGAAAGGTGGTGGGTATGTATCATAGCTATTGTAACTGTCAGCTGTTTTATTCTATAAGAATACATGACCGTGTGCTAAGTCCTGTTTTTGAGATCTCTGAACTGCTATGTTTGAGATGGAATAGTGGCATCTGTGACCGAAAAGTTTCTGCTATCACACTTAGAGCCCATTCAGTTAAATTTTAGTTATTTTTGTTTGTGATCTTGTAATATTTATCTGTTTGTCTTTTTTTTTTTTTTTCCTAACCTTAGAATAGTTGCAGTGAGTTATGAAGCTCGTGCATTTGGGGTCACTAGAAGCATGTGGGCAGATGATGCTAAGAAGTTATGTCCTGATCTTCTGTTGGCACAAGTTCGTGAGTCCCGTGGGAAAGCTGACCTCACCAAGTAAGAAGGAAAGAATGTTTAGGGGAATGGAAGAATTGGAAATAATATTCTATGAGGCTAAGAACTGATGTTTCAAATTTGTGTTGTATAATTAATACCTGACAGAGTTCCTTTGGACAGCCAGCTTTTCTCTTTGAAATGAAAATAGATTTTGATATTATGTTTCAGAAACAGTGCAGTCATTACAGCCTTTAACAAGTTGCTGCCCTTAACACCCCTTCAGTTCCTTAATTGTTTAAAAATTGGTGTTATATTTAAAAATACCAGTTTCCATGTTCTTAGACCAAAAGTCTGAATTGTTTGAAGTAATTAGATTGACTGAAACTAAGTTTTTCTAGAGAAGGATGAGTCAAACTGACATAGTACAGTATCTACAGTTGCTTGCTAGAACTGAACAATCTCAAAGGAGATTACCTCTGTGTTTGAAGTGAGCTGTCACTCCCCAGATTTTAGAACATTAGTCTATATGGGCATGGCCAAGCTCCAACCATTATAATAATCCTAATGGATAGTCTATATTGAGCATTTGTCCTATGCCAGCCTGTGTTAAACTCTCCATAGGCAAGATCTCTTAAATATCATGTTATTATAACATAGACTCTAGAATTACCCATCCCCTTACCTCCATAAAGAAATAAGTTTAGAGAGCTTAAATAATACAAGTTCACACAGTTAGAAAATAGAAGGCTGAGGATTCAGGGGGGTTTTTAGATTTCAGTAGCCATATTCTCGCAGCTTACTCTACCATGTAGTGTGGTGTGTAGCAGTCATGATTTAAGACTTAAAATATTCCTGAATTCACCTATGAATTACAAGTCTAAAGGTGGTGTGCCATAACCAACTTCACCCTGGAGTTATTGCCAGAAGAGAAGACAGATTTACTGAAGATGAATATCTTAACCCTAAAGTAACATTAATTCAGCTAATAGACATATGCTACACTGCATTGAATAGACTTTTGTGCTGGTAAAGACAATGTGACTTCCCAGAAATATAGTTGATTTCTGAGTGTGATTTTGAAAAGCTGCATGCTTTAAACTGGATCATTTATTTTACTCTTAAAATCTTCATCAAGAAGGGATGGATACCTTGGTGGCTCAGTTGGTTAAGCATCTGCCTTTGGCTCAGGTCATGATCCCCAGGGTTCTGGGATCAAGTCCCACAGTGGGCTCCTTGCCTGGCAGGAAGCCAATTCTCCCTCTGCCTGCCACTCCCCCTGCTTGTGTTCTGTCCCCCTCTCTCTGTCTCTCTGACAAATAAAATCTTAAAAAAAAAAAACTTCGCAATTTAAAATTATTTTAATAATTAACCTGTGATACCAAGTTATAAATTATGATTTGCAGAAATGTATACAAATAAATTTTATCAAATATTCTTAAGATACTTTGGAGTAAGTTGCCCAAGAGGCCATGGAGGAACACCAACTACTGCAGTAAAGTGTTCTTTCCTCACTTTGTGTGTGCATTTGTGTGTGTGTATCATGTGCTCATGCTCTTGCACACACTAGCACTTTTTTTTCCTTTGAGGTGTGACTATCCAGCACAAATAATGATTAAAAGGAAAAAAAGCCAAATATTTTTCTAATTCTTTTGAAGATGTTTTAGACAATAATTATACTAGTTTTTATAGATGTCTTTATGAAATGGTGCAAATATTTCCATTTTTATGGTAGATCTATCAGGAACAAAGAACTTACTGTAAATTCCATAGCAGGTTCAAAGCAAATAAAATATGTACATATTGACATAGGAAACTAGCCATCTACAGCCAGAAGGGCTGCTTGTTATTATTTAAATAGGAAGTATATGGTGAAATTGGTATCCTTTAGAGAAGGGTGTCACCACATTCCAAGCATTTATCTTCAGTTTGATTATTTGAATGTTAGTATACCCAGAACTGATTGGACTTGGTTAGTTGGTTGGATGTGTGTGTGTGTGTGTGTGTGTGTGTGTGTGTGTGTAGTAAGGACCGGCTCACATGTTGTTCCAACTCACTATTGACTGAAGTATAAAATCCATATGTCACTTTGTTAATTTAAAATGAGAAACACTGTCTTGAGAAATACCAGATACTTGGGTTCACAAATCAGGGCGGCGTTTCCTATAAGTTACGTCTTATTTGAAGACAAAAGTAGAAGCAGAAAATACATAATGGATATATGAAAATTAAAAAAAAGAATAGGTGATCTTAGTAAAATGTAGTTGAACAAGTTTGAAGCATTTCTTTCCTTTTGGAGAGAGCCACAAAAACATGTTTATGGTCTGGATGTTTTCTACCTTCATAGTGCTAAGAGTCACTAAACATGTTTGCCTCCATTGTTCTTCTTTTTCTTTGCTTCTGTTATTGACCATCCATCTGTCTGTGCATTGACCCCTTCATTTGGGTTACTGTTTCATCTCTGCCAAACCATTGCTCCCTTTAAGGAGACCTTACACTGGTTATATATATGATTCTATTATGAGATAGAGGGGATGGGGACTGATAGTCACTATGTTGCCTTCATTTATAGCCTATACATATGATAATCCGTATACTTTTTAGGTACCGGGAAGCCAGTGTGGAAGTGATGGGGGTAATGTCTCGTTTTGCTGTGATTGAACGCGCCAGCATTGATGAGGCTTATATAGACCTGACGAATGCTGTACAAGAAAGACTACAAAAGCTACAAGGTCAACCTATCTCAGCTGACCTGTTGCCAACCACCTACATTGAAGGGTTGCCCCAAGGCCCTACAACAGCAGAAGGGACTGATCAGAAAGGTACTTCCATAGCGTCATATTGCTTCTGCTTCCTGCCTTTGGAATCTGCTTTGCTTGGTCACGCTGATCCTTCTTGGATTGATTGAAAGGAAACTTAAACTACAACCTGAATGAATCACAAGGACTCACATGGAAGGATATACAAATTCTCTTATCTTTCCAGGTATATGGATATTGAGAATCTGTGGAATCTGTATGAAATCAAGTTTCTATTTAGATATAATGAGAGCAGGTTTGAGTTATCAGTAGACTGAGCACTTTTGTTATTTGTAGGTTAATTTATAATGTTGTAACTTGGTTTCTTTTAAGTTTTTTTAAGGGGGACCTCAAGTACAGGGAGTTGAGTCACTCAAAATTTCTTTTACTTTTTTTTTTTTTTTTTTAAGGATTTTATTTATTTGTCAGAGAGAGAGAGCACAAGCAGAGGGAGAAGCAGGCTGTCCACTGAGCAAGAAGTCCGATGTGGGACTCAATCTTTGGATCTTGGAATCTTGACCTCAGCCAAAGGTAGGCGCTTAACTGACTGAGCCACCCAGGCATCCCTGAGTCACTCAAAATTTCTAATCAATTCATAGTAAAATACTAGGGCGCCTGGGTGGCTCAGGCTGTTAAGTGTCTGCCTTCAGCTTAGGTCATAATCCTGGAGTCCTGGGATCGAGCTCAGCAGGGAGCCTGCTTTTTCCATTCCCTGTGCCCCTTCTTTCCCCTCACCCCCGCTTGTGTGCTCTCTCTATCAAGTAAATAATAAATAAAATCTTTAAAGAAAATGTGTAGTAAAATATCAATGGGCTATGCAAAACCTCTCTTGTTTTATTTATTTTCCTTCCTTTCCCCTTCATAGTGATTTCCCCCCACTACCTCCCTACCTGGCCCACCCTCTGGCCCCCACTGATGTGTTTGGTGTATCTTTTTAAATTTGTATGTCTTTACAAATTGTACAGTGTTGCTTTGTGTATATGCTTTTAAAATTTGTGCTCTTTAATTAAAAGATAGTATTGTGTTATAGATCTTATTCTTGTTTTTTAAATTAATATTTAAATTTTAATTCCAGTATGGTTAGCATACAGTGTAGATCTCGTTCTTTTTCTTGATTTTCCTTCAGTGGTGATTTTATAGCTCTTTCCATGTAGTTGTATTTATGTGTAATTGATTGCTCTTAATTGCAGCATATATCCACGGTATGGACCTATCATATTTACATGTTTTTTACCAGTCTTCTAGTGATGAACTCATTTGTTTCTTATGATTTTTTACTGTTGATATGATAAATGTCCTCATTCATCCTCTTTTGAACTTACTCCGGGGTTTCTCTGAGAAATGTTTTCAGGAGTAGACTGCTAGGTCATAAACCATACACATGCTTAGTTTCACTAAATACTGCCAGATTGTTTCCCAGAATGGCTATAACAGTTACCTACTCTTGAGGTACAAAAGAATTCCTATTGCCCTATATCCTCACCAGCAATTGCTGTGTTCTTTTTCCTTTTTTTTTTTTTTTAAGATTTTATTTGTTTATTTGACACAGAAAGAATGAGCACAAGTAGGGGGAGCAGTAGGCAGAGGGAGAAGCAGGCTCCCCGCTGATCAGGGAGCCTGATGTGGGGCTCAGTCTCAGGACCCTGGGACCATGACCTGAGCCGAAGGCAGACGCTCAACAACTGAGCCACCCAGGTGTCCCAATTGCTGTTTTATAATGTTTAAAATATATACATATCTATCTATCTATCTATCTATCTGTATTTTTTTTTTTTTTAAGATTCATTTACTTGACAGAGACACAGCGAGAGAGGGAACACAAGCAAGGGGAGTGGGAGAGGGAGAAGCAGGCTTCCCACTGAGCAGGACCCTAGGAACATGATCCGAAGCTGAAGGCAGACTAACAATTGAGCCACCCAGGCACCCCTAAAAATATTTTCAATGTGATGGCTATAAAGTGGTATTTCATGTTTTTGGCTTATTTAAATATACATTCTCTATTTACCAATTGAAGTTGAACATTTCTTCATATACTTGTTCGCTAATTGAGTAAGGTTCTATGCATTCATGTGTTGTTAGTTCCTAAATGCTTTAATTTTTTTATTGCTATTGTTTTACATTTTTTCTATTATATTTTATACTTGGTTATTGATGTGTAGGGAAAGGACAAGTGATTTTTTTTTTTATAAGTTCATCTTTATTTACTTTACCTACGTGAAAAAGCTTGTATTATACAGGCATATCTCAAGAGATATTTCGGTAACCAGACTATCCACAACAAACCAAATATCTCAGTAAAGTGAGTCAGGTTAATTTTTTGGTTTCCTAGTGCATATAGAAGTTATGTTTATACTATACTGTCATCTATTAACTGTACAAAGTGTTGTTTGTTTGTTTATAAGTAGGCTGCACGTCCAATGTGGAGCCCAGCGCAGGGCTTGAGCTCGCGACCCTGAGATCAAGAGTTAGACGCTTAACCGACTGAGCCATCCAGGCATCATAGTGTCATATCTTTAAATGTACATATCTTGATTTTTAAAAACTTTGTGCTATAAAATGCTAATCACCTGACCTTTCAGCAAGTTGTAATCACTGATTACAGATCACTATAACAAATATAACAATAATGAAAAGGTTTGAGATATTGTGAGGATTACCAAAATGTAACATAAATATACAAAGTGAGCAAATGCTATTGGGAAAATGGTGCCAATATATTTACTTTTTGTGGGGTTGACACAAATCTTTAGTTTATAAAAACACATTGAAGCAAGGCACAGTAAATCAAGATGTGCCTGTAATCTGCATGAAAATGCTTTTAATAAATTTATTCAATGGTTAAAAATAATTTCTTAAAATTAGGGCAACGGGCACCTGGGTGGCTCAGTGGGTTAAGCCTATGCCTTCTGCTTAGGTCATCATCTCAGGGTCCTGGGATGGAGCCCCACATCGGGCTCTCTGCTCAGCAGGGAGCCTCCTTCCCCTTTTCTCTCAGCCTGCCTCTCTGCCTACTTGTGATCTCTGTCTGTCAAATAAATAAATAAAATCTTTGAAAAAAAATTAGGGCAACAAAAATTTTGCTTTTGTGGTATTGCTAATTTATAATAGTTCTAGATAACAATTATAAGAGAATCTGGGCCTTAAGTTTTTTAAATCAAATATTATGAAACTGGAATTCAGCTGGAACTCCCAGAGCAAAGAATTTGGCAGTTACAGGCTTTTAACAGGGATCTACAGTTTGTCCTAGACATTTTCTAGTACTTTTCATAAAGGCTATCTTCAGAACAGTGTATCTCCTCTTTATTTGTAACATGTACTCTTAGAACTATTATTTTGTAACATTGTTCTTATTCAGAAGTGCTTTTTTAGTAAAAAGTTTTGCATGCTGGCTATTAACAAAAGGAAAGTTTGGGACACCTGGGTGGCTCAATAGTTTGAGTGTCTCCTTTGGCTCTAGTCATGACCCCTGGGCCCTGGGATTGAGTCCACCTCCAGCTCCTTGCTCAGCGAGGAGCCTGCATCTACTTCTGCTTGCCACTCCCCCTGCTTATGTTCTCTCTCTCTCTCTCTCTCTCTCTGACAAATAAATCTTTAAAAAAAGAAAAAAGGGTGGGGGGGACTGGATACCAGCCTATAGCGAGTTAACTTCTAATGGGGGAGAACATTAAGGCAATCTGTTATTGTAAAAACAATAAAGATTTGTCTAGAAAAAGCTCAAAGAGAGTTTAGCTTACTTCTAATTAAAGTGGTAAATTTCCCATGGGTTCCATATTTTAAAATAAGATGTAAGATTTAAAGTTTCCTTTGCCATTGAACAGTTGTATGATAAGCCTTTAACTTGTTGAAGGGTGGTAGTAGTACAACTGCCCAGGGAAGCTTGTGAGAAAGACAATTGAGGAATCATTTTATTCTCTGATCCTGATATAGCAGAGTTTATCAACCTGGAGGCTGCAAATCCTTCAATTCCTTCAGGAAAATACAATGGACAATAAAAATGTGCTACTTAGGGGAGCCTGGGTGGTTTATTCGGTAAGGCATCTGCCTTCAGCTCAGGTCATGATCCTGGGGTCCTGGGATCAAGCCCTGCATCGGTCTCCTTGCTCAGCAGGGAGCCTGCTTCTCCCTCTGCCTGCCAATCCCCCTGCTTGTGTGTGCACACTCTCTCTCTCTCTCTCTCTCTGTCAAATAAATAGATAAAATCTTTAAAAGAAAAAGATGTGCCACTTAAAGGAGGCAGTTATAATAAATAAACATTTGATGATGAAATATGTCATGATTTTCTTTTCTTTATTAGTCTGGGACCAGTGTCAGAAATTTAACGATCAGGGGCACCTGGATGGCTCAGTCAGTTAAGCATCTGGCTTCTTGCCTTCAGCTCAGGTCATGATCTCAGTATCCTAGGACTGAGCCCCACATCATGCTCCCTGTTTCTTCCTCTCCCTCTGCGCCCCAGCTTGTGCTCCCTCTCTTGCATGTTCTACCTCAAATTAACAAAAAAAAAAAAAAAAAGGAAGAAAGTTAACGATCATAATAAAGAAGGTTTTTCTTTGGTCTTAGCTTTGTGTACACATTTTACTGTGTGGCTAATGCTTTAAAACACTTGAAATTAGTTTTATAATGCTTTAAAGTCAGTGGTTCTTAACAGGTTTTTTGAGGGCTGTATCCCCTTTTGAAAATTTTTTCAAAGTATGGACCCTTGCTTGCCTCAGAAAAAGACATATCTACACATAAGGTAATTCTGTGTGCAGTTTTCAGGAGTTTCACAGACCCTCTGAAAACCATATACCTCAGAATAGGAACTGTTATTACACATTACATTGGTATTTTTGGCTCCAACTCATCTTTAAAGAGCTCTCTGGCTGAAGACTATGGTATAGACCTTCATTGGTGGCAAATGTTACCTCAACTCAAATGGACATGCTCCTCTTTGTTCTACACCTTTTTTTTTTTAATCAAAAATGCAGATGTTTATAAAGAAGTCTTATTTCTGTATGTCTTCTGTAACTATTGCTTTAGTGTGTCCA